CTATCCCCAGCTCTGGCCCCAGCTCAGGCCTCCACATCTACTGTTCTCTCCTGTCTGGACCTTTGTCCCAGCCTGGCCTCCTGGCCTCCAGTCTCCCCACCTCCAGCTCATCTTCCATGTCCTGAGAGGGGTCTCACTGTACCAGAGCTAGCCCTGCTTTGCACCTGCTCAGAGCCTCGATGGCTCCCACCGCCCTTGACAAGGTCCCTCAGTTCCTCTGTGGCTCTGATGACATCCCCGGCCTCCTTTGACACACTCCAATCCCACAATTCCCACCAAATATGCTAGGTTCTTCTTTGTACTATGTCTCTGTACTGGCTGCCTCAGAAAATGGATGATGAGTACACAGAAAAAAGAAACACACAAAAAGCAGACCCAGGGAGGTGGACCAGGCAAGAGAGATAGAGCAAAAGGGAAGCGATATAGAGAAAGACGGGGACAGAGGTCGGCTGCCATGCCACCTGCAGTGAGTAGTGGAGAGCGGAGCAGGCCGGATGCAGCGTGAGGTTCTGAAAGGGCTGGATTCGGGGCTGGCCCCAGCCCTTCTTCTCATTCCATTCCACCATCAGCATGTGGTCAGTGAATGTCTTCCCAAACACCAGGGGCTCGCTGGGGTCAGGCTTCTTACGAGGCTCCTGTGTCATTTCCAGCTGCAGGTCTGCAGCCTGAGAAAAGACAGGGGATCCCAGTGTCCTGGAATCTGGCCACAACCTCCAAACTGAAAAACTACAACTCCCATGCATCCCTGGGGCTAAGACCCGGAGAGGAGGGACCTGTGCCCCCAGAGGCTTTTGGGACATGCAGCTTCAACTCTTTCCCACAGCCTGATGGCAGGCGATTAGGCTATCCCATTGCTACCCACCTTCACCTCTGAACCCTGGACCTTTTGGAAATGCCCAAATCCAGCCCCCAGCTCCCAACTTCCTCAGTCCCAGCAGTTCAGGCCCCCAGCCCCTCTTCCTTGAGATCCAAAAGTATAGTCTCCTGCTTTCACCTTGAAGTTGGACGAGGCATATCTTCTGGGACCACACAGGAGCCAAGGGACAGGGAGAAGTTTTCGGGCCCAAATCTGGGGGTGGGGACAGAAGTAAGAAAGGTGGTGAAGCCAGGAGAGAAAGAGAGCAGAAGGCCCTGGCACCTCCTTTGCCACCTGCTGCACTTGGGAGGTCCCTCTGGCCTACTCTGCCCCAGGCTCAAGGCATTATAGACAGGGCATGTGGTCTGACTAAGTCCCTTCCCCTGTTCTGATCAGCATGCAGCAGGAGGGGATCCTGAAGGAAGGCAAGTCGCCTCCCTGCTCCTATATGGGCCATCCCTAGAAAGAGCTGAATCAGCGCCCATCCCCTCCTCCATGCTGGGGCAAAGTCAAACACAGGCACCTCCCACGGAAGGGAACTTTGGCCCCAGTCCTGAGACCAGCTCAGACAGAAGACGACGAGGGAAGGTACGCAGGTAAGTGAAGGCCTCCCTGAGGGACCCAAATCCTGATAAGAGCTAGAAAATTGGGGGACCTATAGGTCACGATCCCCCAGGACCCAGGATCTAGGCCCCCATCCCCCTCCTCCCTCAGACCCAGGAGTCTAGGTCCCCACCCTCTCCTCCCTCAGACCCAAGAGTCCAGACCTCTAGCCCCCTCCTCCTTAAGACCCAGAAGTCAAGGCCTCCAGTCTTTCCTCCCTCAGACCCTAGGAGTCCAAGTTCATATTCTTTCAAGGTATTGGATCTACTGAACTCAGATTACCTGAAGCCCCTAGCCCCACCTCTTGGACACCAGTCATCAATGGACATTGTCCAGATGAACACTTCCCTTGTGGCCCTGCCCAAAGCCAGCAGGGGAGAGCAGGTCTAGCTGTGTCCAACAGGGTGGGCTCTCCCCATTGTTCTTGGACCTCACAATGCTTCTTTCCTCAGCCTGGCAGGAAGGCAGGTGGGTCATGAGGCTCGGGGAAACAGAACAGCCTAGCCTGCTCCTGCCCTGTGAGCTGAGTGAGCTGACACTAATCAGTAAGAATGGATGTGAATGGCAGCTGTCACTAGTCAGTAGGTGAGTCATGGGGAGAGGGGGGTTGTGGGCTGCAATGTCTTAAAGTCTGGCCGATGAAGTCTGAGGCATAGCCCTGGATAGTGTGGGGCCCAAAGGATTTCTGATATGATTACAGTGTGGTTCCAACACATGGCCACTAGGTGGCGATGTGTAGCCTGCACAAGCCTGCAGCCATGCTTCTGTCCAGGAGGGAACAGGACACCCACAGTATGGAGAGTATGGACACACAGGGCGGAGACAGCCAGTATCTGGGCAAGAGAGCAGCCCTCAGAGGGAGCCAGAATGGAAAAAAATAAAAGAGAGCAAGAGAGGGAAGAGCAAGAATGAGAAAAAGATAGACACAGAAATAGAAAACACAAACTTTAAAGAATAGTAAACAAGACAAAGAGATGCCAAAATAGATATGATCATAAGGATAAAGAGAGACTGAGACAAGAGAGAAAGAAACCCATGGAAAGTAAAGCCTGGAGAAATAAAAAAAAATACCGAGGGTGGAATAAAGAGGAGAGAGAGAGAGAGAGAGAGAGAGAGAGAGAGAGAGAGTGTGTGTGAGAGAGAAGGAAAACGGAAATGTAATAGATGAAGACCAAACTTCAGGCAACAGAGCACACAGTGTACTGGAGAACCAGAGAAATAAGGAAGGACTGCAAGAGACAGACTGATGCCAAGACATGGAGTGAAACTGTTTCAGTGAAGCTTAGAGACAGGATATCCAGGAGAAAGAGGCAGAAAAACAAACCCACAAGGCAAGGAAGGTGCCGGGCACAGTGTCCAGGAGATCTGCCCTGGCCATAGAGTCTCTTGTCATACTGGAAGGACATTTCTCTAGGGGCAGGGGTCTCACCTGAGCTGAGGGAAGGTGTCACACCATAGGAATTGGGTCCAAAGGAAATTCTTAGATGGTAAATGAGCTTTGGGAACAGAGAGTAAAGGATTGGGGCTGAATTAAGACATGAGGAAGGTATACAAATTAGTAATTGTAATATGGCCTCAGGGATAGAAAAAGACAGTCCGAGGAATATAATCTATAATGTTGTAAGTATTTCTTAGGGGGCCAGATGGACCCATGTCCTTTTGGGGAGTCCACTTCATAGTCGATGTAGAGGCCTGACCACCGCATTGTATTTCTGAAACGGATGTTGAATAATACTGTATGTCAACTATAATTATATATACATATATAACCTCGGGACATGGAGTAGCGAGCGGGAACGGATTCAATGGAATTGTAATAGATAAGCATGATATCGGGGGTGGGAGGGCAATAGACGGGGGGAGGGGGGTTGTTACCTGGTGAGGGTGAAAAGGTTAACTATTGTATTGTTCTGTACACCTGAAACTAACAATAAAAAAAAAAAAGAAAAGAAAAAAAAAAGACATGAGGAAGGTTGTGTGGGTGCACAGGGCAGGGCTCTGTAATATTATGGAGCCTCCACTGTGTCTCATTACAGCTCAGGACTGTCCTCTCAACATGGTCCAGGAGTGTCACCAGCAAAGCCCAGGATTGTCTCTGTCATAGTTTAGGACTATCCTTCACACTTCAGAACTGCCCCCACATCACAGCCCAGGAAGAGTCCCCATCATAATGCAGTGCTGTCCTTGTCTCAGCCTGGGATGGTCCCTATCACAGCCCAAAACTGTCCCAGTTAAAGTCCCTAACTGTCCTTCTCACAGCCCAGGACTTATTCCTTCACATGTAGAATTGTCCCATTATAGGCCAGGACTCTCCCATCACAAACTAAAACTGTCCTTTCACTGTCCAAGACTCTCCACATCCCAAACCCAGACTGTCCCTGTTACTGCTCACGACTGTCCCACCACAATCCCCAGGAGTGTGACCATCAAAGTCCAGATTGCCCCACTCACAGCCCAGGCCTGTTTCCATCAGTCACTGAGACTCCAAAAAACTAAAAATCTGCCCTGCTATTCAACAAGCTGGGACAAGAGATAAGGTGCACAGTCAATAGGAAACACCTCTTCCAAGGTTATGCTGTAGCTGTCAAGGGTTGTAATGACGCCCTTCTTGGAGTTGTTACTATTTCCTTCCTCACTGAGAAACCTTATTCTCTAAAATCATGGACTTTCCAAAGGTCTGCTGGTTAACATATCAGTAAGAACGGACTGTCTCACTGTTGCCTGGAGTATCTCTGTCACTTGGATGAGAAACTGCCTCAATTTCCAACCCAGGTGCGGAGCTTCAGACAAGAGTTTTGGGGATCCAACAGTCCACATCTATCTAAACCTTTAGTCCCAAGAAAATAGGGCCTTAAATCCAATTCCCAGTCCAGACCTAAGGATGAACTCTGCACCTTCATCCTACCCCCTTCCCTAGAGGTCCTGGGGGCTTATCCCGGCGCGCCCCCACCAGCTGACTATTCCTTCCTTAATCCCCTCACCCAGTCCTGTGAACCTCCCATTACTGTCCCTTCCTCCAAGTTTCCTTCCTCAGACCTCCTGTCCCGGTCTCCTTCCCACCAATTACCTCCCTCCCACCCGCTACTAAAGCTCTGTGCTTTCCAAGGGGCCCCCCCTTTCCTCGGCGCCTCGCAGCGGAACCCGAGCGCCAGAGGAACAGCGCCAAGCCGGACGGGCTGCGAGCGAGTGGTCCTCCCGGAAGTGCGCCTTCCCTCGCCGTTCCCCAGCCCCCAGGCGCGGGGCCGCGAACCCACCTGTCCCACTGCAGCTGCGGCCATGGTCGGTGCGGCGGGTAACTGTTCCCGCCCGGGCCGCCGCCCGAGAGAAAGACGTTTCCGGCCCCGCCCTGTCCACGCCCCCTCCCCACCCGGCGCCCCGGGCCTCCCTAGTTACAGGGCGCCCTCGGGGAGACGGGCCCTGCTGCAAAGTGCATGCCCTGGAATGCGCGCGGCCAAGGGGAGTAAATTGAAACACACCCTCCTCCTAGGCCCCACCCAGGGTTTTCCCAGCCACACTCATGCTGTTCAAGAGCGTGCATGCATTTGTTTTTCAAAAATGCATTTTAATAGGTTCTGCTACGAAGCTGTAGTGAGGAAAAGCAGCCCGGGGTAAGAGAGATTGAAAGGCAAGGAACAGCAACCTCTGCAGATCTCGATTCCTTGATGAAAAGGAAAAAGCACACTATACATGTCGGTGGGTGCATAGCATGTAAATGAAAAGGGACAGGACTTTGAGAAAAGGCCTCTGAATAGGATAGCAGGTAGGGATGAAGGGGTTGCCGTCAAACCCTGTTTGAATAGTTTTTCTTTCCAATGAGAATATCTGTGTTGTCTTTGTAACTTTTTAAAAAATAAAAACACACGGTTCACCATGTCTCCTTCCAGTCCCTTTCATTATTGGGGCCCGAAACTTTTCAATCCCCCAATTCATCAAAAAGCCTCTAAGAACAGCTCCTAGAACAGGATTTCCTGGTTATGCCCCTTCTTGAGTGTCTCCCTAACTTCTGGACCCCCAGAGGCAGAGTTAGCCAATTGTTCCTCAGTCACTGTGCCGCCCAAACCTTCCGTGGTCAGAGTTCCCGCAACTCCTGCATCCAGGTTAGTGTGACACCAAACTATTGTTCCTGCTGTATCTTCAAACTCCAGTCCTTAAGCCACTGTGCCTCTAATTCTACCCTGGGACATTTTGTCCCCAGATTCTGTCCTCCAGCCGAACAATCCCAGGCCCCCAGGTAGTTAAATTCCAAAATTCCACCCGCAGGATGTCTCCGTTTTTCTTCCCTCCTCCCCTACCACTTCACTGAGGCTTGCAGGGGTGCGGCACCCGCAAAACTTCCTTGGCCAATCAGCGATTGCCTCACACCCCCAGCCGCGGCCAATCCGCAGCATCACCTGAGGAACACACCCGGGACTGGGCCCAGCGCCCCACGAGGGGGAATTCTGGGTTAGCCTCCCCAGTCAGGGAGTCCACAGCTCCCACTTTCCAACTCTCCACCCCAGTCCTCCTCCCCCAGGATTCCGGACCCCAGCTCTTCCCTCTGTCTCAGGAGTCTCAATCCCCAGTTTCCTCTTCCCTCAGAATTTTGGCGCAGGCCACCCTCCTACTCCGCAGGCAGTGAGGTCAAAACTCTTTTCCCCTAAAGGCCAAGAATAAAAAGAGGCCCTTTTGCTTCACCTCCTCATTATCTCCTAATTAGAGCTTAATTTGCTCTCCCCTGCGGACCTTTTAACTAGGGCACTGGAGAAGCCAACCTGCAACTCTTTTCCCAGGAGCCCCTGGGGAGAGGCTCCTGCTGCAGGGCCTGCTGGGAGTTGTAGTGCCTCGGGTCGAGGCCATGCGTGGGGCACGGGTGGGTGGGAAGGGTTCCTGGTGTGACAGGGCTCATAAAGGACGGAAAATAAATGTAATGATGCCCTTCTCCTTCTAGTTGTAAATTGCTTTTTTGGGACCCTGTGAGGCGGTTTGGCACATTGGTTAGTGGGCTTAATGTCTAGAGTGGGGAGCTACACCTGAAAGGCAGAGGGCAGAAGCTGGAATTTGGGAGACTGAGTTTGAGGTGGGAGAGTCCTAGTCAGGGAAGCCCAGGTGGAAATGTGGAAAATCAGAAAGGGGTGACAGGGGCCTCCAGGGGGACACTCCACCTGGCCTTGCACCCATACCCCAGCTCTGCACCCCCGGTCACTAGCAACTCGATGCCTGTGCAGAAGCTTGCTTCGGAGGCCAGGAACACCGCTGCAGCCCCCACCTCAGCTGGCTGGCCCATGCGGCCCAGGGGCTGGGAAGAGACAGGGATGAAGGAGGTCAAGAGGAGTCCCCACCTGACTGCCACACCCACCACCTGGATCTGGCTCCCACTCCTACTTGAGCCATTGTGCCCTCTCGGACTGTGGCCTTGGGGTCAGGTGTTGAGGCTGCCAGCTCCTCCCACAGTGGGGTCCAGATGTTTCCTGGGGAGATGCTGGAATAAGGGAGAGAGGATCAAGGAAGTTTACAGCCAACATTTCCTCCCAGTCTTCCCAGTTCCCCCAGGAGGCTCTTAGCCCATTTAGTGCTGCTCACCAGTTGACGCGGACGCCATATTGACTCTCATCCAGGGCCAAGGCTTTGGTCATGGCTGTTACCGCCCCCTACAGTAGATGAGGCCAGGGAGAAAGTTCAGTCCAGGGAAGATGAGGCTCCTCCTGTATCCTCTCCTCCCAACCTCGGGGGTCAAACAGGGGCATCATAATGGGGAAGTCATGCCCTCCTTTCAGGCTCGCTTTGGGTTGCATCAGGCTCTATTTCTTGGGAGACACTTGGCACACAACAGCATGTCACATGTTGTTATACCTCAGGGATGAGGCCCCTGGGGGGCCAGGTAGGCTGGGAAGAAAGTGGTGGGAGTACCTTAGTGGCCACATAAGGAACTGCCTGGGACTGGCCAATCCCCCCGACCAGGCTGGAGATGTTGATGACATTCCCGTGGCTCTTCCGCAGGTGGGGGAGGGCGAGCTGGGGAGATAGGAGGCAGAATAAGCTGCCCAAGCCCCTGGATCTCCCCCAACCTGCTGAAACACATCCTGATGTCTGGGACAACAGCCATCACCCGTATGTTCACTAGTTGCTGCCTTGTAGAGTCAGCATCCAGAGCCGTAGGGTGCACCTTCTATGAGTTGCCCCAGGGTCTCTGGGTCTCAGTGCTTAAGGAGACTCAGACTGAAAGGGATTTTTGCCTGTGTCTCTTCTACTGTCTCTTTCTCTCTCCCACTCCTTTTTCTCTGTCCCTACCCCCTCTCTCTCTGGGTCTTTGTATGTTACTCAAACTCCTGTCCCTACCAAGATAGAAAAATGCAACATGGCTGCATTTTTTGCAAAAAATGGGAGGAAGCTCTTTTGTCCATGGAGGGGAAGATGCTTTCTCTGAGTTTTAGGGAGACCTCTGTGGTCAGAAAGTGATGTGGGAGGCCTTCGTGAAATGCACCCCATATTCTGCCAACTCCTCCCCTAAAACTCCCTAGTTACCTGGAGGTCCCTAAACTAACTCTCTCTCCCTCTCCTTCTCACTCCCTCCCTGTCTATCTCCTAGTTGTTTCACTACACATGACCTTGAAGAAAGGAAAATTCTGTCTTTTCCCTTGCTTGCCTTAGGCAACGGAGCTAGCCAGGCAAAGCCTGTTCTTGGGAGCTAGCCAGGCAAAGCCTGTTCTTTCAAACCTCCTCCACAAACAGAACAGTTCTCACCCTATTCTCAGTGCTGTATCTTTAAATACACCCTGTGTTCCAACCTCAGGGCCTTTGTACTTGCTGTTCCCTCTGTCTGAAATGCTTTTCCTGAGATAGCCATATGACTTGCTCCTACAGTGACCAACCATTCTAGTTTGTCCAGGACTGAAGGGTTTCTGGGGACATGGGACATTCAGCCTACAGTTTTAGGGCTGGGACAGTCCTAGGTAAACCTACTCCCTCAGCAACTTCAAACCCTGTTCAAATGTCACCTTCTCAGATAGTCTTTCCTGACCATCCTATTTAAAACTGCAACCTGCCTCCCCCTGGGTTCCCAACCCATTTCCTGATTTCTTTTCTCTGTGGCACACACTCCCTTTCTGACATGCCATATAGACTTTACATGCTTATTTGCTTATTCTCTGTCTCTCCCATCAGAATGCAAAAATCTACAAGGGACGATTGACGTTCTTATTTGTTTCATCCACAGTACTAAGGTATTGGTATATATTAGTAGGTGTTCAATAAATATCTTTTGAATGAATGAATGGATTGTTTGAGGATCTATTACATACCTGGTCCTGTTCTCTGCAATTTACACAGATTAGCTCATTTAATCCTCATAACCCTGGAAGGAAGTACAGTCAACTGCCCCTTTTTACAGGTGAGGAGACTGAGGAACGGAAGGGTGACTGACACAAACAGAGGGTCATGTGACACCTGACAGAAACAGTATTTGTAGCCCAGGCAGTCTGAGACCAAAACCCATAACCACATTAGAATTTCTGACAATTCTAGGCATTAAGAACTTGAAGGTATATGAGCATAAGTGACATGACTATGTGGGCATTAATGGTGAGGTGAAATTCTAATCTTCCAGCTGGCTTTTCAGGGACCCCTCCCTTCCATTCATCCTCTCCTTCTCCCCCTCACACTCATCAGCCTTGAAACCCTCCCTGCCTCAGCCCTGGGGCTTCCCCAGCCCCCACCCCAGCCATATTTATCTCATTAATCCTTATTACTTCCTGTCCAGCTACCTAACTCCCTTCCCACCACCCTGCAAACGTGAGATCCATGAGGGCTGAGACTGGTTCATTTGCCATCCTTATCTCAGCACTGGGATCACAGCTGCCACTTAATAAATATTTGTCCCACTCCCTGTGGCCCCTTCCCAACACTCCCACACATTCCTTGGCTAGCGTCCTCCCTCCCCCACCCTCAAGGTCAGCTACTAGCTATATCAAGGACCTGCTGAACTCTTATTGGCCTGACTCTCTCCTCCTTCCCTTCCAACACCCAATCCGGACAGCCTAGCTCTCCTGGATGTCCTGCAGCCTCCCTGTGGCCTGACTCCATTTTGCCTAAATGTTGGGGTTCCAGAGTCCTTCTCTGTCTCTAAGCTCTACCTGGGGAGCCCCTACTTTGTTGATTTCCCATCAGCAGCTCCTAAATCTCCTTCAGATCCCCCTCCTGGAGCTCCTGACCTGCCACCCTCTCCATCTCGATGTCTCACGTGCAGAACTCACCCCATTGTCTCTACCTAAAACCTGCCTCTCTTCCTGGTTTCAGCCTCAGAGGTGGGGCCCACTCCCACCCCAGCTTTTCAAGCCACAGACTAGAAGACCTGGGAATCTTCCAGAATCTCCCTTTCCCTCAATTCCTCCTGTGATTCATCACTTCCTTGCTCAAATACCTTCCATGGCTCCCTATTGCTCTTGAGATAAAGACCAGACACCTGGCTTGGCCCTCAAGGCCCCATGTGATCTGCCCCCACGATTCCTTCCTGCACCACCCCCTTTCTCCATTCAGCCCCCCAATAGCACCAAACGCTCTCTCACTGCAAGGCCTTTGCACAGGCTTTTCCCTTTGCCAGGAACACTCGCACCTCTGTACAGCCATATCAAGGCCCCTGGACACTCTTATTGGTCTGACTCTCCTTCCCCGCTCCCTCCGTTTGGACTCTGGATCTGGAGAGCCACTTTCCCACCCTCCCCTAGTTAATGTTGCTCCGTCTCTCACTGCCTCCATGAAGCCTTCCCTGATTCCCCAAAACAAGCCACCCTGTCACACATCTCTCAGAACCATACCTGTCTCCCTCCTAGCACAAAACACTCACCTCCACAAACTCTTGTCTGCATTTATTTAGTAACGCCTGGCTGCCCCATGACTATGAACTCCACAAGGGCAAAGACCACGTGGTGTCGCCCCAGTTGCCCAGTCTTTGATGAATAAATAGATGAATGAATGGATAGGTCTCTAAGAACAATCCAGCTCTGAGAGTTTACAATTGACACTTCTGTGCTCAAACACCTTCTGTGGACCCTTACTGCCCACAACTTCTTATTTCCTTGACCATATAAATATCCCTAATTCCTCCATTGTTTGCTCTTGCCTAGGAAATCACAAACTTTGGCTTATGTCAGAAACCACCAGGGAGGCCAAACACACAGAAATTCTGATTCAGGAGGTCTGGGCTGGGGCTCCAAAGTTGACGTTTCAAGAGCTTCCAAGAGATGTTGGTGGTGGTGATGATGGTGATGGTGATTATGATGGTGGTTATGATGTGGTGATGGCGATGATGACGGTGAAGATGATGGTGAAGATGACAGTGATGGTGATGATGGTGGCAATGATGTAATGGCAGTGGGTGGTGATGGCAAAGATGATGGTGAAGAAAATGATCCTAGTGATAGCAGCGATAGTGGTGATAATAGTTATAATGATGGTGATGATGAGGGTAATAATGACAGCAACTTACTCATGTCGACAGATTTCCCTACAACAGGCACAGTTTTAGGTGCTGGAACAGAGGCATGAACAAGAGACTAAAATCTTTGCCCTCTGGAAAACCAAATGCAATGGGCGGACCTTAGCTGGCACCTGGTGTGAACAAACCAACTGTAGTAAGACATTTGGGAACAACAGAGTAAATTTAAATAGTCCTTGAGTATTCAATGGTATTAAGAAATTACTGTTAATTTTCTTAAGAGACCTAATGGCAGTTTGGTTACGTTTTTTAAAAAGTCTTAATTTGGGGCAACCGGTTAGCTCAGGTGGTTAGAGCGCAGGCTCATAACACCAAGGTTGCCAGGTTCAATCCCCACATGGGCCACTGAGCTGCCTCCTCCACAACTAGATTGAAGACAATGACTTGACTTGGAGCTGATGAGTCCTGGAAAAACACACTGTTCTCCAATAAAATTTCTAAAAAAAAGAATTAAAAATTTTAATGCATTTTTAAATTAAAACAATGTATGGCTCTCCCTCACTGCTTGGGTGAGGGCTACCTGTGAGATGCACATTTCCCTCTGACTCCCAGGGTTCCCTAGGAGATGGCGCCCCACTTGCCCTAGTGGTAACTTGCTCAGTGACACCTTCCATCAGCTGCCTTGCAAATCCACAACTGCCCCCAACCCCAAGGGTAGCACTTCCTGGGATCGTCTCCCACACATCCTATGCTGCACTCCATCCTCATCTAGATCAGCTTCTGGCGGATCCCCAGCTAGCAGGTGTGACCATGGTACTGTGATGATGTTAAGAATTCTAATAATCTGAATAAGAAGGTCTCCGGGTTAGTTAAGACCCTGGTGTCAATGTGAATCTTATTGTGACTGTGTAAGAGGATGTTCTTGTTTTTAGAAAATACACCCCAAATTACTGAGGGGTGATGGGAGTTCTCTTATTCTTAAAATACATCCAGGTGTGGGGCCGGCCAAGTGGCTCAGTTGTTTAAGAGCTCGCTCAAGAGTTTGAGCTCTGGGGGGACTTCCAGGAAGATGGTGGAATAGATAGACGCTGTGCCAACTGCCTCCCAGGATCACACCAAAATTACAAATAATTTATAAGATATTCAACCTCGGAAGTTACCTGGACCCAAGAGTTTGAGCTCTGAGCAACAGCAGTTCGATGCCCGGCCCAAGCTGAGCTGCCAACATGTGGCAGGATGGCACAGCTAAAAAAAAAAAAATACGCCCAGGTGTTCTGCCCCAGGGCCTTTGCACATTCTTTTCTTAGTGAGTGAATGAAACACTCTGCGCTCTATTTCTCCACTTCCTTCCCTCCCACTCCAAGTCCAGCTCAAATCTCACCTTTTCCCTTCTACTTCTCTCAGGCTTCATTTACCTAACATATATCTCAGAGACCTTGAAATGAGTGAGGTGGATTAGCCACAAGAAACAGAATGGGACAAGGTTCACAATAAACAATAATAGCTCACAGACAGTAAACTCTGTGCCAGATATGTTCTAAAGGCTTGGCGGGTATTTAGTTGTATCTCATTCAGTTCTTAGAACAACCCTGTGAACTAGATACCATGATTAGCCCAGTTTTACAGATAAGAAAACAGAGGCAAAGAGAGACTGAGTAACTTGCCCCAAGTGCAGGTAGGAGGTGGCAGGTGGGCCCCAGATCTAGACCCTTTACTCCCATGTGAGGTTTCTGTACCGGCCACTCACAGGTAACAGAGTCAGGTAGCCAACAGGAGGAGGTAAGGACTCGGGTACACTGAAAGCCAGGCCACGTTAGCAGACTGTCACCCTGCCCAATGGGTCCCGTTTACCCACTTTTCAAGAGAAACCAGAAATCCAGTTGTTTATGTGAAGTCACTCTCCTTTTAAATGTTGGCAACTAATGATACACACACACACACACACACACACACACACACACACACAAACACACGCGCGCGCGCGCACACACACATATATATACATAAACCTTTTATGGGCTCTGATGTATGTGTTAATCATAGAAGATGAACAGAAATTGGAGACAGGAGCCAGGGGTCACTGGTTAAGAGTGGGATTACCCAACTGGGGACATTCCACCTGGATATCAGATGAAACCTCAAAGATAGCACCTGAGCTTTCTCCACACCGGTGACCCTTGACCCACTCCTTGGGCCTCTGCCCTCTCTGACTACACTCGCTTTTCTGAGCAACTCCAGCCTCAAGCCAGTGAGCTCCAAAATGGTGTCTCCAGGCTTCCACCCTCACCCCAGACCCATGAATGCCACTCAACATGTCTCCCACCCCACCTGCTGCTCCCCAGGAGTCCCCATCCTGCACTTGCTGGAGGTAAGGTGGGAGAAACAAACCTAATAAAACAAACAAACGCTTTCTTTCTGAAGTCCACCCCACCATCTAGTCTATAAGAAAATCCTGACAATTCTACCTTCAAAATGGATCCAGAATCAGACCATTTCTCACCAAATCCACAGGCACCAGCCTGGTTAAATCCAATATCACCTCCCTCCAGAACAATCCACATCCACTCACCAATCTGTTCCCCACATGGCCACCAAAGGGCTCTGGTTCCTACTTATAATACTCTGCTCAGAACCCTTCATGGTTCCCTGCTCACTCCATGTCAAAGCAAAGTCCTCTCCGTGGTTTACAAGGCCCCATTCGATCTGGGTCCCATCGCCTGCTTTCTGCCCACCTTCCACCCTCTCCCCGTAGCTCACCCTGCTTCAGTCACAACTGCCCTTCTCTCTATTCCTCCTCCACTCCAAACTGTCCCACCCCAGGGCCTTTGCACTGACTGTTCCTCTGCTGGACTCCAGTTCCCCACACACCTCCTTGGGATCTGACTCAAACGTCACCTCTCAGAGAAGCCTTCCTCTGTCTAAAAGAACACACATATACTAATTTAAAAGACAAACAACAAAAAAACCTCATCTGGTAAAGATCATGCTGAATTATTTACAGGTGAACTATGATGTCTGGGATTTGCTTTAAAATACTTCAGTAAAAAAAAAAAAAAAAGAGAGAGAGGGATTTCCAAGAAGCAAGAATGGCAGATTGTTGACAACTGTTGGCACTGGGTGATGAGCAAGTCTGGTTCAGTATGTGATTCTCCCTGATTTTGTGTATGCTTGTAAAATACCATAATAAAAACTTTTATGAAATATCATTTGCACTTACCTATCACTCTTTAGCCCCTTTCTTTCCTTTGCTTTTTTGCATAGCATTTATCACTCCCTGACAGTATATTCTGTGTTTACTTGCTTACTGTCTGTCTCCCCCACTAGAACGTCAGCTCCTCAAGGGCAGGGGTGTCTGTTTTGTCCCCTGCTGGATGCCCAGCACTTAGCATATTGCTGGTGCTAAATAAATATTTGTTAAATGAATGAATTAAAAAGTGCTATGATGAAAATAAACATGCTGTTATCATAGAGCATGAATATGTATGTGTAAGTGTCACATAAGCAAAGATGACCTGGAAAGATCTTTTGGATTTGAACAAAGGTGATATGCAGGGGGCATTATGGGAAGATTCAAAGGAAGAACACAGAGATAGAGGGAGGAGACGCTTTCTGCTCCTAATAGCTACTCATTGGGTGGCAAAGCTGTAACTGCCTATTACTGACTTCCTGTCTCAACCCCTCCCCCATGTTCTTAAAATCCCCCACTACCACCACCACACCACTCTGGAAGGTTCTGGAAGGTTTCTAAGAAACTTGGGCTATATAACCACCCAGGTAGCTTGTGCTAGACATAGCAATTTGTACCCATTTATTTTCTACAAAATAACAGAGTCCTTTAGGGATAAGATCAAACCAAGACATAGAAAACATTTTGTTCTCAGATAAAGTGGGTCTGACAATCCCATTGTCAGGAGGCCACCTGGGCCTGGTAGCTGGGGCCCCAGCCTTCACCTTGGTCAAGGTGTATGTCCCCAGCAGGTTCAGCTCCAGTAGCTGCCGGAAGCCCTGGGTAGAGGTCTCCTCGGGCCACTGCGGAGGAGGATCTAAGGGTGGGGGTGGGAGAGAGGAGAGAATGAGGGAGCAACATAGACAGAATGAGAAAGGGAGATAGGGATAGTGTAGGGGAGTGGGGGACCCAAGGTTGGGGCTGGCAGACAAGAGGGTCAGGGGTCCTAAAAAGGAAGGGAGGTTGCACAGCAGTTAATAAAAAAGTCTCGGGGGTCAGAAGGCCTGAGTTCGAATCTCAGCCCTGCCACTTCCTGGCTGCATGACCATGGGCAACTCACTTTGCCTCTCTGTGCCTCAGTTTCCTCATCTGTAGAATGAGGATAACACTTTCTTCTTGAGCTTTGAAATTTCACAAGTAAATATTTGTGCCTGACAGTACCATAATATGTTTGTTAAATACAGTTGACCCTTGAACAACAAAGGTTTGAGCTGCATGGGTCTACTTATACACAGTTTTTTTTTCAATAAGTATATAGTAGACCCTCCATATACCCGGGTTTTGTATCTGAGGATTCAACCAATCATGGATCTCAAATAATAGTAATTTTGATCTACCGTTGGGAATCTGTGAATGCAGAGGCCTGACTGTATGCCCTGTTCTACACCATTTTATGTAAGTGACTTGAGTACCTGAGAATTTTGGTCCTGAAACCAATTCCCCCCAGACACCAAGGGACTATAGTAAAGTTTTTGGGGGGGTCAAAAGTTATATGCAGATTTTCCACTGCATGGGGTCTACACCCCTAACCTCCACATTGTTCAGGGGTCAACCATAAATAGAAGGAATTGTTGGCGGGGGGAGGTTAGAGGGGAAGAAAAATGAACATTCAGAAGAAAAGACCCTGGAAAGAGTAAGAACGGGGAAAAAGCCTTCATTACTACTGGACATGCTAGCATATACAGTCAATTCTCATTATTTGAGCAGTTATGGTCTGTAAAGTGGCCGTGAACATTGAATTAGTGATTAGTGACCCATTACTCCTAGGGGAAGTGTGTACATAGAATAATATATAATAATATATAGCTATTATGGAGTGACTGTTTGTGTCCACCCCCACCAAACTTCCTCTGTTGAGATCCTAACATCCAAGGTGATATTAGGGGGTGAGGGAAGGTGATTTAGCATAAGTGCCCTTAGAAAAGAGACCCCAGAAAGTTCCCTTGCCCCTTCCACCATGTAAGGACACAGCAAGAAGCATGCCCTCAGCAGACACCGGATCTGCCAGCACCTTGACCTTGTAGTTCCTAGCCTCCAGAACCTTGAGAGATAAATGTTTGTTATTTTAAGCAGCCCAGTCTATGGCATTTCTGTTATAACAGCCCAAACAGACCAGAACAGTACCTATGTATATGTACAATATAAAATATGTACATATGCATATATATTGTATATAGATACATGAATAGTTAACACAGATTCTAATCTTACATGCTAAACACAACTCATGCTCTAGGCTCTATTTCAGAGTGCTAAGTGACTTGCCCCACTAACAGGTGCCAAGCTTTGCGATTCAAACTCATCCAGCTGGCCCCAGAACCAGAGTTCCTTGCCCTGTACCGCCCCCTCCTGTCTCTGTCCTCTGGTTATCTCTCAGCTTGAGAGCTGAGAATCACCTTGTACGACCACAGCTAGGACCGAGCACTACAGGCAGCTCAAAGTTTTGCCGCTCTGCGCATGCTCGCAAACACCGGAAAAGCGCAACCAGTACTAATTCTAGGGTTACAAAAATTTTTTTTGAGAGTAGGAATTCGCAAATGCGGAATCTACGAACAATGAGGATTAACTGTAACTGTCTTTTCTTGTCTATTTCCTTACTCTAGAATGTGAATCCCATGAGGATTGGAATTTTTGTCTATTTTGTTCACCGCTAAATCCCCAGTCCCTGGTGGGCTGGCCAAGGGGCTCAGTTAGTTAAGAGCTCGCTCAAGGGTGCGTGCGTGCTCTGAGCAACAGGGTCGCCGGTTCCCTGAGCTGCGCTGAGCTGCCAACAGGTGGCAGGATGGTTCAGCTAAAATCAATCAATCAATCAATCAATCAATCCCCAGTCCCTGGGACAGAGCTTGAGACATAGTTGGTATTCAATAAATATCTGTTGAACATGCAAAGGACACAGAGAAAAAATGCACTAGTATCCACCATATGTTTAATCCTTACAACAATATAAGAAGGAAAATGCAGCCCAGAGAGGGTGAGCCACTTGCTCAAAGTTGCCCAGCTAACAAGGGAGGCTTCTCTCTACTTCAGGCTTGCTGTGTGACCTTAGTGCAATCAATTTACCTCTCTGAGTCTTGGTTTACCAACATGAGGAATTCTTATAAAGGATAGCCATTAAGCTGATGGCAATTTCCCTTTGAAGTCACCAGGTTAAGCCATATAAACCACGTGCTGTGAGTACATCTTCACAAAGAGAAGAACTATCGGCCTCGCTTCATAGATAGATGAAGATCGTTCTTGTAATTATGAGGCTGAATAGTTTACCTACTCAATATTCACAACCCTATAATGAGGATCATCATCATCATCATTATTCCCATTTTAGAAATATAGAAACTGAGGCATGGAGAGGTAAGGGCACACAGCTGGGATGGGACAGAGCCAGGATGGAAGCCCAGGCATGGGGGATTCTACAGCTGTCCTGTCCTGTCCAAGTGGACAGAGAGGAAGGTGGGGGAATCGGGGAGAGAAAGGGGAAACCGAGGTTTGGGAGGAAGGTGTGGGAAGCCAGGAGGTGGGTTGACACCAGTGGCTTCACAACTCACGGTAGCCAGCATTGTTGACCACACAATCCAGGCTGCCAAAACGGCGGACAGTTTCAGAAATGAGAGTCTGAGAAGAAAGGTGTTTTATGAGTCAGGAGTGTTGTCATCCTGCCTTGTGAAGCCAGGGCTCCCAAAAGCAAAGTGTGAAGGGGGGAAAGCCGGAGTCATAGCTGAGGCGACAGGAGCTAGAGGAAGTGGGGGACTCTCCCAAAAATCACGAGGCATCGCAGAAGAAGAGACAGGAAGCCAGGGGAGCCACAGCCCAGAGGGCTGGTTATAGTCATTACTCCAGAGACCTGGAGTTGGGAGACAGAGATCCTGGGGGGCAGATATCAGACAGATACTGACTAAAGGGAAGGGACAGAAACCCTGAAACAGGAGGCGAAAAACTTTTTCAGAAAAAAACCCACTCACTGTGAGGGACTCATTTGTTCCAATCCATGTGACAGGTGTGATAAGAATCTTGAAGTAGTAGATCAGAGAACATACCCAGACACTTGACCTGGCCAGCAGAATCAGGGAAAGCCTTGCAGAGGGGAAATGACACAGCTGAAAACTTGGGGACCCAAAAAATTTAGCCAGAAGAGAGAAAGGTAGAGGGATAACATTATGCAAAAGTCTAGAAGACAACAAAGTGAGAGAAAGAGAGAGAGAGAAAGAGGAAATATTGGAAATGGGGAGTGGGGACAGAAAATCTGCTCACCCTCACATCTTCCTCCTGAGTCACATCACAGAGAAGAAACACAGTTCCAGGAAGCTCCTGCTCCAGAGCCTGGCCCCCTAACTCTGCAGGGAGAGAAAGGCTGGGGACCTGGACTCCCGGGTCTGAGGGAGGAGGGGCTGGGGATGATGATTGAGGGACCTTCACTCACCATCTTTGTCACAGATAACCACTTGGGCCCCGCTTTCCACTGAGAATTGGAAGAGAACTGGTTACCTCAGCACAGACCTTGCTGAAGGCCTCTGCTGCCCTCTTGTGGCTATTTAGAATGGGACCTATTTACCCCCTGGGCTCTCCTCGTGATCCTAGTCTCATGATGATCCCGCCTAGAACAAAGGTCAGAGGCCTTGACACATATTCTCCTTGGCTACTCCAGGTACCTGCTTGTGTTCCTGAGACACCCCCCCCCCGGCATCTCTGGGTTCCGGAGTGAACTCTAAACCTGCCAGAGACATATTCCCCAAACCACCCGTTTTGTAACTATAATCACTGAGACCCAGAGAAAAAGGGTAAGGGCATGTGAGGCCTGCCAAAAGCTCAGGCTCCAGGATATCACTCCTACGCCTTCGTTAGCATTGCAAGTTGGATTTTATAAAATAAGGATCTAAACTCCTTCTTCCCACACTCATCAGACCCCCGGGGTCCCTCCTCTCCCAGAATCCAATATTCCAACCAGCCAAGACTCCTCACCGAAGGCTCTCACGATCCCGGCTCCGATGCCGCGCCCGCCCCCGGTCACAATGACCACCTTCCCCGCATACCGCGATCTCGTGGCCATCCCGTGTAAGTCAGCCTGTCTCGCCCTCTGTCACTCACTCTAGGCCTCTTTCCACCTCCAAAGTCGGGTGAGACCGTGGGCTCAAACCTTAAATAGGAACTGGATCCTGGAAGCCCGGCCCTGGGAGGTGCTGCCAGGAAGTCCAGAGGCTTGGAAGTTTGGCCCCAGCCCCCTCCCTCAAACCCAGTAATCCAGGCCCCCGACTCCCTCCTTCCTCAGACCTACAAGTTCGAGATCCCTCCCCCGCTTTTTCCCTGGGGACCCAGAAGCCAGACTCCAGCTCTGCCTCTCAGAGACCACAGTGTCACAACCCCAAACAGACAAGGAGAAAGTTATTAACTAAAAGTTCAAAGTTTTAATCCGAATTTGAACACGTGCTGGAAAAACCAAACTTTGGCCATAGAAACCCCTCCCCTTGTAGACCAGGAGGGGACCAGATCACGCCCCCAGGTGCCCAGAGTGGCTCCAGATCTCCAGGCGGTACCTTCAGATCACGCCCTTGCATTCCGATTGGCTGCCGCGTTTGGGTGGGTCAGAAGCTGGACTGCAGCAGAGTAACGCGCAGAGGCCACGCCCCCTCATCCTGGGTCAGGGCAGGTGGGGAGGTTCCGGAATCCCACATGGGCTCCCAGGAGGAGGGACCTGTGCCACGCCCACTACCTCTGCGGATGAAGCGGGTGGAAGGGGAATTGGCCACAGGAGATCTTGGGGGCGAGGTCACCTGGGGCGTGGCGTCTGACTGAGGAGGAGGAGGCGGCGCAGGGCAAAGAGAGTCTCCTCCAGAGTCCAAATTTCCACCTGGACAGGACGAGAGGGTAATGAGAATGGCAAACTTTGGGAACCGGGATTCCGTACCTCCAGGCCTTTCCTCTCTCAGTCCCAAGAGACCAGATCCCTCAGTAGCCTACTGCCCCAGACCCAGGAGTCCTGGGCTCCAGTCCTCTCCTGCGGGAATCTAGAACTCCCAAGCCATGTCCAGTTCTTTCCTCATCAAGACAGAAGATTCCCAGCGGCTCTCAGATCCTTCCCCACCAGGACCTAGGATTCCAGGCCTCCAGCTCCCTCTTCCCTTAAAACCCAGGAGCCCAAGGTCCCCAGCCCCTTCTTACCTGTCATCATTCTATGCCACTGCGATGCCTCAGTGGCCAAAGCTTGAGAGAGGCTGAGAACTCGCTCCCGGTGACCTTCTGATATCGGCAAATAAGGGGTGGTGTTCCTCGGACTTGAAAAAAGATTTGGGGGACACGTACAATTACAGTACAGTGACAACCTCATCGCCGCAGCTGTCCTTCTGGGAGTCATAGTCCCTCGCACATGTTTCTAAAGGACTTTAAATCTGACGTGGCCCTCATCAAATGCCCACGTGCATAATGGGATTTGTAGTCCAGGCTCCCGACAAGTTCACCCGACTTCCAGATGCCCGGGTGGGCTTTGCTATCCACCCAGATTTGCAGTTTGGAGAACTGAGGTTCTCAGTGGGTACCTAGGGCTTTCTGATGCCCCAGGAACTCAAGTGTCTCTAAAAGATTCTGGGATTAGCTCTTCAGTACTCAGGAGACTTCAGTAACAATGCTACTCCCCTCCCCTTTGGCAAATTGATTTCCCTGCTCCTTGGCCTGCCTTCCAATTCCTTACCTGCTCCAGGAACCGGAGCTTCTGAGCCATTTCTGGGCTCCTGAATGTCCTAGGACAGGCTGCAAAGGAATTGGGGCATTAGTATTCCTCAACTGGAAGCCCCACGTTCTGAGGGTGAAATGAACAGGGCTTAGAGAGGGGATAAAATTGCCTCCAGATGCACTGACAATGTGTAACTTTATATTCAAAGAACCCCTGTTCTCCATATGACTTAGATCAGAGGAGACCCCGCCTTGTTTACCTATGACAAGGCCAGAAACAGACCCTCCAAATTCACTCTTTACCTCATAAATGATTAGCTTAACTGGTTGTCCCCCTAAAACTAGTTAGACACAGAGAAAAACGTCTAGTGTTCAGCTGACTGAGATGTCCTCTGATTACAAAAACAATCCTAACCCTAAAATCACCCCACCTATGACTTGTCTAATTCCTCCCTGAAAAAAATCTAAAATGAACCCATCTTGATGAGACACTCTGATCTTTGGATCTGGAGCACTCTTCCCATTGCAATAACGTAAAAAAAACTGATTTCCCTACTTGCTCCGTTTATTATTATCATTATTATTTTGCCTTTGACAACACATGGTAACTGAAAAAGAAAACAGTTTCTGATCCAGACCTATGGCCCCTGGTGAGGTGGGGATGTTGTCTCTGTCCCACCCAAGCTCCCTACTGCTAGGGGAGGCAGGATGCTGACTTCAACACAAGTACAAATTGGGGTGAATCTGGAAACCCGGTTCTGGGTAAGGAGATTGGGAACATCCCCATTTTACAAAGAGGGAAACTGAGGCTCACACTAGGAGCAAAGGACCCACTACCACCCCATTGGCCCACCTCTGTTCCCCTCACCCTTTGTTCCATGTCAGGCTGGCGTCTGGTTGGGGACAGTGTCCTCCCCAGAGTAAGGAGCCGGGGAGAAGCTGGGCGAGGGAGAGGCCGTCCACACTCCTGGTTTCTGCGTATTCTTTCCAACTGTTCCTGAGCACTCATCCGGGGCCGGACCAGGGGGGCCTGCGGAGATGAGAAACCTCTCAAGACGCCAAACTTGGCCTTCGTTTTATCTCTTTCCTGAACCTCTTAGCCTCCAGTCTTGCGCTTTCCAGTAAGTTCACCACCGAAGGCCTCTTTCTACACCTGGAACTGATGCTGGCCCCCCACTGCTCATGTCCTCCCATGGTCTCCAAGCATCCTTGGGACAAAGGCATTTGAGGCCCTGTGAGGCCTGGTCCCTACCCACCTCTCTGGCCTCAACTCCATCATCTGCCCTATTTGAACCTGAAGCCCCAGCCTGACAAACACCCACAATTCCCTGGACATATCAAGCTTCCTCACACTAGTAGACAAGACACTGGGTGCTTGTGATTAAAAACAAAAACAACTCTGTATCAGCTGTGAAAACAACAGGAGGAATGGGATTTATTGAGTAACTAAACTGTCCAGAGGATCAGCTTAGGTTGGCCTTAAAGAGGACTTTATGATCTCTGTCTTGCCCTCAAAACCAGAGGGAAGATGCACACAGGGTGGACATCATGTGTCAATTGGAGTTATGTGGCCACAGGCCAAGAAACTACCAGAAGCTAGGAGAGAGGCCCGGAGCAGCTCCTTCCGCAGCACCATCAGAGGGAGTATGGCCCTGCTGACATCTTGATCATGGACTTCAGTCTTAAGAACTTAAAATGCAAGAGGACAGAGATAAGGTGAAGAAGAAATCGTTCAGCAAAAAGAAACTGGAACTTGAAGAAGTGGAATATTCTCAGGCTATCCATACTGCAAAAAATGAGAAAGCATGTTTTGAAGAGAACACCAAGGGTGTGGCTGGATGAGCCATTTGCTAAGATATTAGGCATGTGACGTGTGGATCCAGTAAATCATCTCAGCAGAAACACCGCCAGCTTCAACTGAAGAGGACAGAGATGGGACTAAATGAAGAAAGGCTGTCAGGCATCTGGGATGCTACAGGCAGGAAATGGGCTGATAGAACTATCTGGCTGAGAATAAGTGTTATCCTTCAGGAAAGGGGGTAATTTGGACACAGACATACTCACAGAGAGAATGCCATGTGACGACTGGAGTTATACCAAGGAACAAAGCCTGGAACAGATCCTTCCCTAGTGTCTTCAGAAAGAGCCTGGCCCTGACAACACCTTGATTTCAGACTTCTAGCCTACAGAACTGGACGACAATAAATTTGTTGTTTAAGGAAAAAAAAGAGAGAATAGTACTCTTTGTTGCAGTCTCCAACAACTAGAAAATTCTAGGGAGACAGCTTGGATCCACTGCTTATTGTAGGACCAGTCATTGCAGTTCACTCTGTTTTACTGATTTGGCCAATCCTGAGTCACGTGTCCACCTGTTATATACACGATGGCCCCTGTATATTGGCCCTATGTCATTTATTTCTTCACAGTGGACCAAACCATTGGCCCAAAAGCCTGCCAAGGCCAAATTCAAACTTTTACACATCTACTTGTTTCAAACATAGCCCAAATAGACACATATTTTAGCCATTTAGAACCTGCCTACTCTGAATACTCCACGAAGCTGTACCCCAAATCGGCTAGCCATAGGTAAGATGAATCTGTAGCTATAAGACCCTAAGCAGCTGCTGTCCTTAGGAGCTCTGTAACCCAGAGACTCCCCACTGTGCTGCTCAATGACATCACCCACACCCTTAAGCCTCCTCTCCTATCTGTCTTGTCATCTTCTCCTCTGGGAAGTGGCCCCCAAGCAGGAACCTCTAAAGGGTCTCGCTGTGAGGGACTTCTCCCACAGGCAAACCTCTCAAAGTGTGGACCAAATAAGGCTCGTGTGTACTACTGCCACCTCGTGGTCACATCTTTTTCCTTGATCAGCTCTGAAATGCCTGGAACTCAATAGACTACCCCTGAACTCTGGAACTTGGCAGCCCCGGAACCACAGGATTGGGGTGAGGCAGGAACAATTTCCAGGGTAGCCCCATCATCAATCCATGTCCTTTACACACACCACTGAGCATACAGAAGCTCCTCTCTTCCTAGGAAAGGACTGATTGATTGTTTTGTATCCACGATAATAAGTATAAGAAATGCTTTGAAATCTGTTTCATCAAGCTCTGGCAGCTGGCACCCCAATCGCGCTTCTCTGAAAGCCAGTCAGCCACCGATCAGTGATGGCCCCATATATCCAAAAATCAGCCAATCAGCAACAGATACAAAGCTTCTCAGCCTGAGGTTGACCAGTCCCTAAATGCTGCTGGCTCCGAAAGTACGGCAGTTTCTGAACTCCATGCTGTATGACCACCTCTCTGCTTTTCTCAGAGCGACTGTGTCTTACAAGAATAGGTCTAGCTTGTTCAAGGAAGTAATAAATTCAGCTTCATTTCTGATACAAAGCAGCGGCCTCTTTCACGATCACCTCCATGCTTTTGCATACATAATCTGTTCCCTTTGTTGGGTGTACTCGTCTCTGCGGGGCCAAACCTTTTTTTCATTCACCCAGCTTCAGCTTACCTATCCTTTAAAAGGCTTTCCAATTGTCAGAGTCCCTCCTCTCCCCCATCAGACTTGAGCATCAGGTCTAGTTTGCACCTGGGCCCCCAACACCTTCCACAGGGCCTGGCCCCTAGAAGGCCTCATCAGCAAATAAGGGAATTTGGGAGTTCCTCCTACAGTGGCTTAGGAGGAAGGGAACAGGTGACAGTCCCTCGCCCTCCTGACACCCTACTTGGATTGGTCATCAGCTGATGTCTTACTGGGCACCGGAATGGTCCTGCCAAATCCATAAGCCATACTTTTCCTGCAGGAACCCTTTGCCAGCTTCAGGATAAAGGAGGCCACTGAAAAATAGGTTGTGGGGTGGAGGTTCACTACACAACAAAGTCAGCTAACAAGTGTAGGTCCTTGAACACAGGGACTCGTCTGGAGGCCCAGCCTTGCAGGGCCTGGCACCCGAGAAGGGTGCCTGAATTAAACAACCCTTCAGTTGGCAGATGGGGTACTGGAAGCCAGAGCTCTGTACTCCCAAGAGACCATGCACAGTTGTATAGGTTGCTCACTGCCCAAGGGCTGAGCCCACCACTGACCAAAACATGTTCTGCCCACGCAGAAGGGGCGCCTGTCTCTAATTCACAAAAAGACGTCCTGTAAGCTAGCAGAGGCCATGTCTTCCTAAAACTCCCCACCATAACCTGGACATTTGTTCCAGCTGTCTCCCTGCTTCCCCACTTGGTAAATTCTAACTCAATCTTCCGGGTCTCTCTGCCTCCAGGAAACCATCCCCAACATGCCAGGCTGTCTGGGAGCACAAGGAGTCCCCCAGCGCCTCATGCTTTCACCATCACGGCACATGCCTCCCTCTGTTATGATCATGCTTACATCTGACACGCCTCAACCCAGCCCAATTTGGCTCAGGAACCACAGGGCCCGGGCCAAACCCTGTACACAAGAGGCCAGGTACCACAACAGCACCAATAAGAAAAACCACAAACATGAAACTCAGAATTAATTAACACATTCAAACCCAAACTCCTCACCATCCCTTCCTGCCCCATCTCCTGCCTGGTAACTGCATTCTTCCAGATGCCCAGGCCAAGAGTCTCATGGTCATTCTGACTCCTCACACCCATCTCTAATCTGCCAGGAAAGTTTGTTGGCTCCACCTTCAAAGTCAGTTTCCAAAATCTCTTATCTGCAATTCCAAAAGAAAAAAAAAATCTGAAAACAGAACAGACCTTTGTGTTCCAAAATTTGGTGCCAATATCCACCTGGCATGGTCTGAGTCTCAGCATACCGTCTCTCACCCAGGTTTCTCTGCCTCTACTGCTATTTTTCTTGCTTGCTTATTTACTTATTTATTTGTTTGTTTGTTATTTGTGGCTTCTGGTTTAACTGCTCTCTGGAGATGTCAAAAAGAGCCAAAGATAGCCCCGAAGATAGTGAAAAGAAGCAACAGAAACATCTGTCACCTCCAAGAGCTTGGAGAGAAGAATAATTTCAGGAGCAGGATTGTGGAGCGTCTGCTGCGACATCTCAGTGAATATGACCCATGAGGTACCCCTGGATGTGATGTGACATGAACAGAAAGATGTCATGGAAGTTTTACACGGACAGTGATGACCAGGAACTGAGGACAAGTAGAGAAACTCTGCACAGGGCAGAACATGAAGACCTGGACTGTGCATGGACAAAGATGTAACCAGATATCCCCACCTGGCTTTTGGTCATGAAACAAACTAGAACATTCCATGAAGACCTGAACATTGATTGTGACCATTGGCTGGCAACACTGAAGAGGCATGTGATGTAAGATGTCTGATGATCCGCAGTGGCCAGAGCGTCTGTAGATCATAAATTACACTGGTGAGTTTGCTAAGACAATACCTGATGTGCTTCTACAAAAATGTCACCAATAGCAATGAGAGATGACAATGATGGGCTTGAAGGATACTAGGCTCAGGCGATCTGCTCCTGGCCATGCTAGAGCCACAGGCATACACAAGACACAGTATGGAACACATCTACAATTTTCCATAACTTGGGCATTATTCTGCAAACAAGAAATCACGGGACCCAGAAAAATCTTTTTGGACAAGTTCAGGAATCACCTTGTGATGAGCAGCATGAGACCGTTGTAGACGAGCTAGACTGAAAGAAAACCGTTGAGTTTGGGTTCCTGAATAAACGCTCTAGAAGCCTTCCTCAGTGTCTTGTGAAGAATGGCATTTTGGGGGCATTTGCTTTCTGTCGAGTGTGGCATCTCCACATACAGCTTCTAACCATAGATGTTTACACTCCACGAAGAGCAAGGATCACTACCACCACCTTATTTTTTATTTTTTTTTTTATTAACTGTATACTGGCTGCAGATACCAGGAAACCCAGGACTCAAGATTTTTAGAGTTGCCAGTTTGCAGCTGTTGGTTCTCAGGAGGAGGTTGATAAACCAGCAGATGCAAACATAAGCACAGGCAGGGCTCTGATGACATTTGAAAATGACTCTGCAGGGGCCGGTCGAGTGGCACGTTGGTTAAGAGTTGGCTTGGGACACCAGAGGGCCCCGGTTCGGATCCCACATATGAGGGCCAGTGACACTGCTCTCTACAGCTAAGATGCTGAACAACAGCTCAACCTGGAGCTGGGCTGCCGTGAGTCGCCGTCAGCGGCGAAGGCTGCAGCCCCTGCTGCAGTGGGTTGCCATGGGCTACCGTGTGTAGCCAGCAGCCAGCGTGAGCGGCCATCAGTCGCCGTGAGCGGCCATCAGTCGCCGTGAGCGGCTGTCCAGAAGCCGGCGACTGGCCTGCCTCGCCCGGGAAGAGCGCAATGATGGTGCCAACTTGGGCCAGTGAAGCAACGTCCTCCACAACTAGACTGAAGAACAAAAAGGACAGCAACTTCTCTGTTTCCCTTCCTCCAATTCCCCAATTAAAAAAAAAAAATCTTTAAAAAAAAAAAGAAAAGAAAATGACTCTGCAGATGAAAACTAAAGGGCCTCCTTTCCCCAAAGTCCTCAAGCAACCAGATTTGGCATCACTGATAAGAAGAAGGTGAGGCTACATTTTGTTATTTGTGCCCAAGGGGATCAGGTTCAAGGAGAAGATCCTACTGTCCACCTGCAATAACTTGCCTGTTGGGCATTTATTTATTGAGGGGATAGAGGAACGGCTGACATAGTATGAGATCAGAAATTCAAGAGCATTACAGCAACGATATTGATAATGTTGGGGATACTGGAGGAAAACTCCCCACGGATGAAATGGTGAAATGGGTGATCAGTTCATTGCTGACTTTTTTAGTTTTTTAATTGGGGAACAGCCATGGTCATTGGTTACACATTGCTTTCATGCTACAATGGCATAGTTGACTCTTTTAGGGAGGGCGCAGCTCACAGTGGCCCATGAGGGGATTGAACCAGCAACCTTGGTGCTATCAGCACCATACTCTAACCAATGGAGCTAACTGGTCACCTGCGTTGCTGACTTTTATCAGTGTATACTTCTCAGTGACCAAGAGATTCCAACCAGTTTACTCAATGAAAGGGACACTGCCCAGAGGAGACCCTTTGTTAAGAAGCAGATAACACAGCCACCTCTATGAAGGCCACCTACCCCATCCCCAGGGAATCCCACTCCTGACCCTGCTCCAGATGTCCAACTCCAACTCCATGACAGCGCTGATCTTTTGACCAGTGACCCCTGTCTCCAGAGTTCTCAAGCCACCAAATTTCATGAGCATTTACTGCAAATGTACGTTTCGGTACTTGGCTTCATTTGTACCTGGATTGTGTGACATGATGTCTTACTAAACCTTTTTCCTTAGAAATAAAAAGTGACTGATATTTCTAATCTATTTTTATTCCACTCTGACTTGCTCATTAAGTAGTTCATTGCTATTAAAAAAAAAACCCAACAACTTGACATTTAAATTGAGATTTATTCATAGCCTTTATCCCATTTAGTATGAATATTCATACATTTTATTGAATATATGTTAATTAATGTGTTTGATTACGGGTGCTACTCCAGACACCACTGGAGGCTTTATATAATACACAGTACGAGTATATATGCACCCTATTACTCATCTAGAATCTGAAACATTTTGCATTTTAAATTACATCTGGTGCCAAGGGTTTGGGATAATGTTTGAAGACCGGTATATCTAGGCTCCAAGTCCATCTCAACAACTCCACTTCTTCTGACCTACTAGAAACTACTATTATCTCCCGCCTGGCCCATCTCCCAGTCGCCTGCCCCCTCATTTGACTCCCTGCCCCAGCCCTTGTCCCACAACCTATTCCTCACTTGGCCACCAGAGGGAGCCAGTTCCCCCTTGGGACAGCTCAGAACTCTCCTTGGCTTCCGGCTCACTCACAGTCAAAGCAAAGTCCCCACCTTGAACCACAAGGCCCAGCAAGATCTGCCCCCGTTACCATTTGTCCTCATTATCCACTCCTCTCTCCATCGGTCGCTTACTCAGTTCCAGCCACACTGGTTTTCTAGCTGCTACTTCAACATGCCAGGCCCACTCCTGCCTTGGAACCTTTGCAAAGGCTGTTCCCTTTGCCTATAATGCTCTTCCACCAGATATCCCCAAGGCTCACTCCCTCACCTCCTTCAGGTATCCGCAGAAACATCACCTTTCCATGAAGCCTCCCCAGACCAACCCATTTACAATTACACTCCTTCCTCAAGCATCCCAAACCTCCTCACAATGCTCTGTTTTAATGTAGCACTTATGATGTATAAAATAATGTACAGTAAACTGTTTATTATCTGCCTCTGATATCCACTAGAACACCAGATTCATGAGGGAAGGATTTTTTTTTTCTTGTTCACATTTGTGACCTCAGCACCTAACACCTCTGTGCATTAGAACTTTCTCTGATGATGGAAATGTACTATATGTGCACTGTCCAACAGGGCAGCCACTGGCCACATGTACCTCCTGAGCCCTTGAAATGTGGTGAGTGTGAGTAAATTTTTAATTTTATTTCATTTTAATTCATTTAAATTTAAATAGCCACGTGTGGCTACTGGCTACCTTATTGGACAGTGATATTTGTGGAATGAATGAATTGAGAAAGGAATGAATGAATGGAGTACTTACTATATCCAGAAACTACTTCCAACCCTTTATGGGCATTCATCTAGTCTGAATCCTCACATCAGCTCTAGGTGGTAGGCACTGCTATTAGCTCCGTTTTGCAGATGAGAAAATGGAGGCAGAGAGAGGTTTAGTAACTGACTCAAAGTCACACAGCTTAGAAGTGGCAGAGACAAAATTCAATCCCAACACTTAATAAATCACATTCTCTCTGATCTGGGGTGCGACCTTAAACTCCCTTCTCCCAGCTGCTTCCCCAAGAGTGGGGGGGGGAGTCCATGGCAGTCAGATCAAACAATCACAAGATGGACCGGGGGTGGGGGGATCGATGGACTGCCTACCTTGGTTCCTGGCTGTGGGGAAGTGGAGCAGTGACCCTCAGGACTGGAAGCCCGGGAGACCCTTGGAGATCCAAGGCCTGGAAGAGCAGAATGGGACTTGGTGAGAACAGAAAATGCCAAGCAAGTCCCGCCCCACCCAGGATGCTCACCTGAGCGAGGGCTGGCGAGGTCTCTGTTGCCCCCGGGAGGCCGCCCCCAGTCAGCCTCAGGGGACCGGGATGAGCTCAGTTCCAAGGACTCAGGCAGGCTCTGGAGGGGTTGGGGAAGGGGCTTCAGCGATTATCATTATCATTATTATCACCATTTTTTAAGCACTTAACAAATGAGACAGAGCATGTGTAGGATTAAGATAAAAAACCAGGAGCCAGACAACCTGGTTTCAATCTCAGCTCTGCCATCTAATAGCTGTGTGACCTTAAGCAAGTTACCTTACCTCTCTGGGCCATATTTAAACTTCTGATATGAGAATTGAATCCATACATGTAAGGCCCTTAGAATAGTGCTTGGCATGTGGTAAGGTATTATAAGTGCAAGATTTTATAATGATTATGCATCTGGCATGTTACTAAGTACTTTTCCTGCATTATCTCACTAAATCTCCTCAATAAGCCTACAAGACACCTATTATTAAAATAGGGATGGACATTTTACATATGGGGAAACTGAGGTGCAGAGAATGAGATCAGTGACTGATGTCACAAAGATAGCAGAGCTGGGATCTGAACCCAGATCACCTGGATACATGATCTGAAGGTCACAATAAGCAGTGGCTTTAACCCAGTTATGACAATAGTGGCTTGTACTTCCTGAACACTGACTCTGTTAGGCGCTTCCTAGTCACTCTTTCTTCTTACAAATCCCTGCAACCTGAGTGTTATGATCAGAAGTGTCTGGTAAATGTTTTTTTGTTTTATTTTTTTAAAAACATTTACCAGCTGGGTGATTGGTTAGCTCAGTTGGTTAGAGCATTGTGCTGATAACACCAAGGTTGCTGGTTCTATCCCTGCACGGACCACTGTTAGCTGCGCCCTCCTTAAAAGAATCAACTATGCCATTGTGGCATGAAAGCAATGTGTAACCAATGACCATGGCTGTTTCCAATAAAAACTAACCAATGCCTCTATGGGAGAAAAGAGTGCTGGTTTGTAGCGTTTGTCAATTACTCCCAACGTGGTCAATTTCAAGCTACTGACAAGACAGCATTGAATGTGGAGTTGGGAAGAGATGCAGGCAGTTGGCCCTTGGGAGGTGGTGGGAGCTGGTTCCAGAGCACCACTGGACTATTACCACGTATAACAAAACAGAAAACAAAGGCTTCTGGAGCATAGGCTACTTGCCAGAGGTTGGTTAGCTGGTCAAGGGATAGGGAAAGACATGAGTAGGTGATGAGCTGTGCCAGGGGCAGATGAGACAGGGACCTGGGGGTGGGGAGAGAGGTGTGAGTCTCACCTCTCTCTCTGAAGACTCCTCCCCTTGGAGTGCGGGGGGTGGGGAGTCAGGCTCAGTATGAGGGGGTGGTTTCTGGGGACCCCCCAGACCTGCTAGTGTGTCTTCCATCATCCACAGCTGCTGCTGAGCAGACGTTCTGTCCTGGGGGGAGGAAAGGAATTTGTTACTCAAAGGTGGGAAAACGCAAGAACAGTTAAAGTTGATAGGCCATGGACAGGGTTGAAATCAGCTGAGCTGTATTTATGGAGTCATAAATGGACTGTGTGTGCATATTGGAGGCGATATTTGTGGATGTCCATTTCCATATAAATTCCCACTACCATTTATCACAAGCACTGTCTTTTCTGTACACTTCTGCAGTGTTAACTCTGTCCTAAATAGGTAACCATGTAAATATATGTGAGTCTGTTTCTGAATACCCTATTCTATTCCTTTGGTCCATTTGTCTAACCTTGTGTCAATACTACACCATCTTATTAACTGGAGCTTTGCAGTCAGGCTTGACATCCAGTTGTGTTAGACCTCCAGCTTTTTTCTTGGACGTTGCCTGGGCTACTCTTGGCCTTATGTACTGCAAGATACAATCTACAGTCAGCTCATCAATCTCCACATAAAAACCTTCCGGGTTTGTATCGGGATTGCAGATCCCCACTGGGGAAATCAATGTGGGGAGACTATATCTTTGCACTAGTGTATCTTTCCTATCTGTGTATATTTTCCCATTTATACAGGTCTTGACCTTCTTAATGATGTTTTGTGGCTTTCAGAGAAGGTGTCTTGCATATCGTTCATGTGATTTCTTCCTAGATATTTAATTTGCTTATGTTAACTACAAACACTACTGTTTATAAATATTTATTTTCTAATTATTTGATACTAGCATATAGAAAGACAATTGATTTTTGTATATTAACCTTGCATTCAGTGACTGCTGAATATGCTTATTCTAATAGTTTCTCTGGAAATTATTTTGGATAGTCTACATATACACAATCGTGTCATTTGTAAATAAAAATAACTTTACTTCTTCCTTTCTGGTCCCTATACTTTTTATTTATTTCTCAGACTTACTTGTACTGTCTAGGACCTCTGGTACAATATTGACTAGAACTGGTAATAGCAGACATCCTTGTCTTGTTCCAGATATCAGCAGTAAAGTTTTCAATATTTCACTGACCACCGTGATGTTTGCTGTAGATTTGTTGTAAATGCCTTTTATCAGATTAAGGAAGTGCCCTTCTATTCCCGCTTTACTGAGAGCATTTATCATGAATGGATACTGAATTGTGTCACTTTTATTCCTGCATTTATTGAGATGATCAGGTGGTTTTTCTCCTTTATTTTGTTAAATGTGGTGAAAAACATGGGCTGATTTTCAGGTGCTGAACCAACCTTGAATTCCTGTAATAAACCCAGTTTGGTTGTGATGTATATATTGCTGGTGCTGAGTGGTATTTAACACCAATAGATGGGGGATTAGAGTTTAGGGGTGGATTTTAAGAAGTGGGAGAGTTTAGCATAAAAAAAAGCAAGGCTTAAATCTGTGAGTATGCATTTAATACTCTAATCAATGTCTTTAACAAAAGATACATGATTATGATTTAGAAATTCGAAGGGCCGGCAGAGTGGCTCAGTTGGTTAAGAGCTCGCTCAAGAGTTTGATCTCTGAGCAACAGCGGTTCGAGTCCAGCCCGAGCTGAGCAGCCGCTGAGCTGCCAATAGGTAGCAGGATGGCTCAGCTAAAAAAAAAATAAAAAAAAAAATAAAGTAGCTCTAAGTCTTACTTTGAGCCGGCCGAGTGGCGCGATGGTTAAGAACTCGCTTGGGATGCCAGAGGGCCCCGGTTCGGATCCCACATATGAGGGCCAGTGACACTTGTCTGTTCCCCTTCCCCCAATTCCCCAGCACTGTTCCCATCCCCCCAATTCCCCAATAAAAATCTTTAAAAAAAAAAAAAGAAATTCCATGGCTAAGCTTAGAATGAAGAAGTGGAACTCAGGCTAAGCAACGGGGCTTATGCTTCAGGAATGGGGCTTCAACTAAGGGATTGGATTTAGAATTGGCAACTCCAGGGCATAAATGTAACAGCAGAAGTCAGGATGTGGAATACAAGAGATGAACTTGCTGGACGGAGACAAGGATGAGGAGCGGAGTTTTGACACAGAGAGTAGAGCTTCAAAATAAGAGGAGAGATTTAAAACCAGAGGGGAGAGTGGTCTTGAATCTAAAGGTAGGTCTTACAATGAGGGGCTTGGTGTTAACTACAATAAGGGGTTTTAAATGAAAGAAAAGGACAGAGGAGGAGGAGCTTGTGATAAAGTAGGAAGGGTTTTGATTCTGTGGGAGGGGCTTAAGCGCCAAAAGGATATCCCAAGTGAACTTGGAGTAGAAGGTAGGGCTTGGGGGTTTGGGGCAGGGGTGTACCTGGGGGGACCCAAGGTGCAGCAGGTACTCAAGGGTCTCTCTCAAGGTGCCCAGCTCCTGTTCCAGGCCGCTGTATGTGTCCCAAACCCGCTCTCGTTCCTCAGGTCCCAGAAAGGGGGAGACACAGAGTTAGCAAGCCCATCCACCTGCTCTTTCCCCACTTCATGTTTTCCAAGCTCCAAGAGGAGGAGGAAGGGAAGCCTGGTCCCTGGTGCCCTTGGTGTACATTGACTGCAATTCCCAAAGGTCTCTTTGCTCTGACTACTGGGAATCCCAGAGTCTACATAGAACCTACCATTCCAATAAGCTGCGAGTGTAGAAAAATAACATCTTTCTCCAAATCCTCTGGATTACCTTTGCATTGCCCTAGGGCACATCTAATGAATTCTTGGGACAGTCAAGACCATAACCTCTATGCACCTCTGGGCAGCAGAAACCTCTTGGTCAATACCAATAATAATAATTATAATAGCTAACATTTATTACACATTTAACATGTTAGGCACTGTTCTTGGCATTCATTTAATTCTTGTGATATAGGTACTATTAATGTCTCCATTTTACAGATAATAATAATTATAGCGAACACTTAAATATTGCTTAGCATATACCAGGTACTAAGTGTTCACTCATTCGTTCATTTATATATATTTATGAAGTCTTCACAATGACCTTATGAAGTAAATACTATGTTTAGCATCTCGAGTTTGCATAAGATGCATCTAAGGCCTAGAGGGGTTAAGTAACTTGTCTAAGGTCACACAGCTACTATGAATGGAAGCTGAGCTTCAAAGCCAGGAATCCTGTATCAAAATTACCCTCTTGACCTCTAAATTAAACTCTGCTGCTGCACACCTTCTTGAACAGTCAAGATCACTGATTTAAAACTTGGGGAGGGGGCAATTCTTAAGAACTACCTTCCCATGAACTCTTAGGGTCAGGTCCCCTTCAGAAACAACATGCAGAGTCCTGAGGCCTCCTGGGAGGGCATGTCCCTTTCCAGATGCTCACCTGGGTCAGGTGACAAAGAGTGGCCCTCACACTGACCAGTCGGTCCTGCAGGAGGCGCTGACGCCCCCAGGCCCTCTGGGGCGCCGCAGCCTCTCTGGTTGCTTGGCCCAGCTGCTGTCTGGTCAACTCCAGCGCTGCTTCTAGCTGCTCCTGCACTCAGATGGAAAAAGGTTAATCTTCTGAAGCCACACCCAGCCCCAGGGAGGGAGAAAATGTGCCCTCCCACATCCTCACCAACTAGCAGGCTAAGGATCAGGAAGGGCTAAGGGCAGGTGGAGAGGCCAGGTATCCCTTCCTGTCCCAGAGCCCCACACCTTCTCCTCCTGTCTCTGGTCTATCTCCTCCTGTAGCCTCTTCAAGAGCCGGTCCTGCCCACACAACTTGGTCAACAGCGTCTAGAGAAATGAGAATGGGAGCTATTTATGGACCAGATCTGGCTCTTACCCTTGCTTCTCCCCTATCACCACAACCATCTAGAATATTCTCTTCCCAACTCTGGGAACTCAGCAGGGGTTGGGTTGGGGAGAACTCACATCTGTCTCCAAGCTTTGGTGGAAGGATGAGTCCAGCGGAGGACCAGGCTGAGGGCAAGGAGAAAAGCCAGGGATCACATGGACAGACCAGATCCTTATTGAAGCTCAGTGCTGAGCTGAGCCCTGTTTCTACTAACAGACACCCCTCTGCTTATTAGCGTCTTTCCAAGCTTTAGCAAACCTCTCGACCAATTGCCTGATTCTTGGCTTTAGGAAGATACAATGGGCTGTGTTACCAAATATCTCTAGCAAACATAATTAATGGAGAAAATGTAGACATTTCCTTTATGACTGAGAATTACACAAGGATGCTCACTGCCACTGTTACAGTTTAACACTGTATTAGAGATCCTGACCAATGCTATAACATAAGACAAAGGAAGCAAAAAGAGGTGTAAGGATAGGAGGGGAAAATAAAACCGTCACTATTTACAGGTGATATATTCATCTACCCAGAAAACCCAGCACAATCAGGTTGATTAGAACAAATAAGAGAATTCAGCAAGGATGCCAAGTGGAAGATGAAGCTAAAAACATTAATAGCATATCTCGGGGCCAGCCGAGTGGCTCAGTTGGTTAAGAGCTCGCTCAAGAGTTTGAGCTCTGAGCAACAGCGGTTCGAGGCCAGCCCGAGCTGAGTAGCCGCTGAGCTGCCAACAGGTAGCAGGATAGCTCAGCTAAAAAAAAAATAATAATAAAATAGCATATCTCTACAACTTCAATAACTAGAAAACATAATTTTAAAAAGATATACCATTCAAATAGCTATAAGAACTACCTGGAATGTAGGAGTTACCTTAACTAAGAACACACAAGAACTCTACGAAAAACTTTAAACCACAAATAAAAGATCTAGTTTATATGAATGAATGGAGAGATGTTCTATATGCATGCTACCTAGTTTGCAGCAGCCCTAGGACATTAATAAAAACACCTACCCAAAGGCTTTGAAATATCCAGTCTTCTCTAGTCACACTAGTCCAGGAGATGACATTCACCATAGCAAAGAAAGAAAGAAAAGGGGCTCTGGCAGATTCGAGGCTACCTACCAATAAAACCATGGAAGCCCGTGTTCCAGGAAGTCTTGGAGGCAGCTGGAGATATGTGGAGGAGCCAGAGGGGACCTGAGGGGGATATTGAAATAGAGATCATCAGAAATTGGCATGTCTTAGTAACAAATATTAAAGTGTATGAGTCCAGAGTTGAAATGCCATAAGAGACTCTTTGAGGTTCAGAACTGGGCCCCCACAACCTCCTCAACTATATGTTCTCCAGCTGTGTGCCACTGTGGGAACACAGAGGATGATAACAAATAGACAAGCCTAGCAAAACAGCCCTAGGGGCTGGTAGAAGTTGCAATCTATTCTCACTCTCACATTTGTGGTTAGCTATGGATATTCTGGGGTACAATTCCATGATGCTCAGAGAAAATAGCAGGTGACCAACTTGGAAAGATAAACTGGAGACACAAGGCAGATGCAACCCATACTACCTGTCACAGCAGTGCCTTGGAGGAGAGTATTCTGGACTAAAATCCCCATAATGCTTAAGGCATAATGGCCTGAGACCAGCCAGGAAAGACAGCCCTGTGGACTAATGGCAGTTAAAGTCTACTCTCCCTCTTACATCTGAACCCAGCTGTGATTATGCTGAGCTATAATCCCCATGATTCTCAGGGGGCAATGACCTAGAGACCAGCCTAGAACGAAAGGCCCATGACCATCAGAGAGATGAGTGTCGTGTCGTGTGTGTGTGTGTGTGTGTGTGTGTGTGTGTGTGTGTGTGTGTGTCCCGTCCCCACCCCCACCCCCGCCCTGTCACCTCTCTGCTCACCTGTTTTCTGGCCTCCTGACTCCAGTTCTGGGGACTCCTGGGAGGCCTTCCAACTTCAGCCTCAGAGGAGGGTCCTCGGCGGGGGGTGGGGGGCCGGGAGAGTGTCTGACGCTGAGGGCCCCAATCCAGGGGAGGCCGCACGTCGATGCGATTCAAGGGGGTATGGGGTCTGGCGGGGATTGCTGTGTCACCTGAGGAGGGAGGAGGTCTGCGTGCAGGAGCAGAACGAGGCCGGGGGAGGCTCAGAGGGGAGGGAGGGCGAGAGAGAGGTGCGAACAGGCTGTGGGGAAGAGAGAAAAGGAGAACTGGGTCAACTAGAGCCCTCTCGCCCCACCACCCACCAAGTCAGCCTCAAGGAGGAGTTTCCCTTCAGTGTGTCTCGCTGTCCCTCTAAGAGAAAAACCCTCCTTTTGGCCAGATGCTGAATAATTTCCCCCTTCATGGCATCTTCTTAGGCCTTCTTCCCAGACAGGCTCTGACCCCACAAGAACCCCAGCAAGTCACACTCAGGCAAGAGAGCACTAAACTCGCCCCTAATCAGCCTCAGTCCTTGCCCATCTCTTAGGCCACACCCCCAATATAGCTTTCCCCCTGAAGCTCAATAGAACTGTCTCATCCCAGGTTCCCAAGTTCAACTCACTCCGGGCTCCTCGTCCTCTGAATCCGGGGTCCAGATTGTAAGTCGGCCATGGGGCTGGGAGTGAGCCGCCCAGGTCGGTCATGATCTCTGGAGAGCCGAGCCACTTCCGGTGATTCTAAGCTGTGCCCCTCTTCCCCTTTGCTCACCTCCGGGGGGCCACCGGGACCTCCAGGGCCCTCCCCAGGCTGGCGACGTGCAGGTGACTTGGGTCGCCCACTAACAAGTGGGCACAGAAAAAGACATCATTCCTCTGAACCTCATAACAGCTCTTATTCTAATTTCACAAATAAGGACACAAGGACCTATACAGAAAAAAGGGAGAGGTGGTGCATTATAAATCATTGTCCCCATTTTGCAGATGAGGAAACTAAGGCCCGAGTGTGGAAGAGACTTATGCAGGGCCACAAGGTCCGTCCAGGTCACCGAACCCAATGCCCCAGACTGAATCTGCAGCCTGAAAATTGAACCAGGCCGGGACAGAAACAGTCTGAAGCCATTCCTTTTTTTTTTTTTTTTAATCTGACATTGTTTTGGTGGTAACCTGGCCGGGCTGTAGACTTCCGAGGGAGTCAGTCAGGGAGTGCGAAATGTTGTTTGTGGGGGCTGGACAAAGTGATAGGCGTTGCTTAGAGGGAAAGGCTTTTGTTGATTGGAAGAGCTGAAGTTCTTCTAACGATGGGGCCTGAAGAGCAGAGTCTCCTTAGCTGGAAGACTAATGATTGCATGTTGAGGGGCAGGGCCTCTAGAGGTGGAGTTGGGGATGATGAGACTGACCAGGGCTGGAGGTACAGGATCAAAGGCGTGGCCTATTACTCACCAATCATCTCCCTCTGCGCGGGAGGCCCGGCCCAGAGCACGTAGCCAGCCCCGCAGGTCCTCTAGCGTGTCAGCAGCCAGAACATAGGTCCTCATGCCCGGGTGCTCTGCCTGTGGGAAGATAGAGCTGGGAATCTGGATGCCCAGGCCCTCCAAAAGGGAGGATACCATCAACCCTGGCCAAGATATTTTATTTTCAGTAATGGATTCTCTGATGGCTGTCCCCATCGCCTAGTACCCTACTGCCCACAGGGGATGGACCAACTCACCGTGAAGGTGAAGCGCCGCCCTCTGGGGGCTCCTGGCCCATCTGGCCTGACACTATAGCTGGGGAGCAGAACGCTGCCTAGGACGCTCTCCTCGCGACTGTCTGCAAAAGAAGGGCTGGGGTCAGGGATCACAGGGGGATCTGAAGGCCGAAAGGCCAGAGGAAAGGGCGCCCACCCCATCCAACTGGAGCACTGACCCTTGTAATAGAAGAGGCAGTGGCCAGAGAGGACGAACCAGCGGCGTTTCCACAGCCGGAGCCCAGCGCTGTCCTAGGGAGAAAGCGTGGGAGGAGAGGCCTGAGTAGAGGGGAGAGGGAAAAAGGAGATGGCGGCAGTGACACTTGGGGACAGAGACCCAGAGAGAGGGAAGGAACAGAGACACATGTTTGATATAATAGATTCAGATGGAGAACTGGAAGCCAGTATGCTGTGGTTGAGAGGACATAGTTTCTAGACACAGTTGGACCTGAGTTTGACTCCACCACTTTCAAACTGCCCCTAAACAAGTCATTTCCCACTAGGACCCTCAAGTTTCCTCATCTGTCAACTGGAGGTTGAGAAACTACAGGAAGGTTGGAACACCATACTGTACCACACGTGGGCAGGGACTGTATATACAAAGACTTGGTCCAATAACTCTGGAGCCTGAGACATAAAAAGGCCAAAAAGGGGGCACTGAGCCTCTGCCGGAGCAGGTCCATTCCCAACCGTGTGCCCCTCTTCTCTTCAAAGGTTCCCCCAAGGGGCCGACTGAGTGGCTCAGTTGGTTAAGAGCTCGCTCAAAGGTTTGAGCTCTGAGCAACAGCAGTTCGAGTCTGGCCCGAGCCGCCGCTGAGCTGCCAACAGGTGGCAGGATGGCTCAGCTAAAAAAAAAAAAAAAAAAAAAAAAACAAAGGTTCCCACAGAAGCAACAGGATCTTTTAAAATGATAAATCAGATCATGTGAGCCCCTGCTCAAAACAGAGCTTACCGTCAAACTTAGAATAAATTGCAAATTCCTTACCCTAGTTTACTGGCTGACATGGAATCTCAAACTTGGGAGTGCATAAAACTCACCAGGAGGGCTTGTTAAAACCAGATTCCTGGGTCTCCTCCCCAGAGTTCTGAAGTCGGTAGATCTGGGGCGAGGCCTGACAATTCGCCTTTCTAGCAAGTTCCAGAAGATGCTGACACTGCCACTCTGGGACTGCACTTTGAGAATTGCTGCTCAGATGTCCCTCCTATCTCTCTCCTTGGCTTGCTCCAAACACTCAGCTATGGCCTGCTGCAGCAACTTTTGCTTTCGCAGTCCCTCTGCCCCCAAGATCTTAGCATGATGGGCCCCTTCTTGTCACTTAGTTTTCAGCTCAAATGTTATCTCCTCAGAGACACCTTCCCTGACCAACAGTCAAAGGCAGCTTTAATCCCCTCAGTCACTTTCGAGCACAACCCGTTATTTCTTCACAGCCCTTTACAACACTTCCTACCATCTGCAATCATTTATTTCATATAGTCTAATTTTATATTATGTAACATACATATTATATGTTATTTCATTTATTTATATATTAATTTGTTATTCACCCCCACTCTACCCCCATCTTGAATGTACTATAGATACTTGCCCTATTTGTGTGCCATGTGTCCCAGGGCTTGGTACATTGTAAATAAATGTTCAAGAAGTGGTCACTGGGGACCGGCTGAGTGGTGCGATGGTTAAGAACTGGCTTGGGACGCCAGAGGGCCCCGGTTCGGATCCCACATATGGGGGCCAGTGACACCGCCCTCCACAGCTAAGATGCTGAACAACAGCTCAACCTGGAGGTGGGCTGCCCTGAGTCACCGGCGATGGCGTAGGCTGCAGCACCTGTGGCAGTGGGTTGCCATGGGCTACCGTGTGTAGCCAGCAGCCAGCGTGAGCGGCCAGCAGCCGCAGTGAGCGGCCAGCAGCCGCAGTGAGCGGCCGTCCAGAAGCCGGCGACTGATCTGCCTCGCCCAGGAAGAGCGCAATGATGGTGCCAACTTGGGCAGTGAAGCAATGTCCTCCACAACTAGACTGAAGAACAAAACGACAGCAACTTCTCTGTTCCCCTTCCCCCGATTCCCAGCGCTGTTCCCATCCCCCCAATTCCCCAATAAAAAATCTTTAAAAAAAAAAAGAAGTGGTCACTGAATGAATGAATGAACGAATTAGTGAATGAAACAAAGACAGAATAAGGGGAGAATCAGTGATAGCAAAAAAAGACAAATTTTGAGACTTGGAAGGAGAGAAACAGCAGACAGCCAGGGACACAGCCTCTAGAGTCCCTAGGAGTGTCCTTTTCCTTCTCCTGCTCACTCCACCTGCTTATGCAGCCAGCCTCGGATGTGCACGGGGAGGTTGGGATCCCTCCTGAGCGCATTGCTCCTCTTCCCAAAGGTGTGCACCTTGCTTACTGCCCGGGTGGATTTCTGAGGAGAGAAGGAAGAGAGAAGTGAACAGGGCACCTGGATGGGCTTGGGGAGGTGGTGCAGGTAATCACCTTGCTGGGCTGCCCATAGAAACCAGGTCAAGGAGGGAGCTAAGTTTTGAGATCAGAATTGGGTGTGTACAGTGCAGAATTCAGAGACACTTTTTATGGGTGGAGGGAGGTGTTTGGAGGCAAGGAAGAGGCTACTGGCCAACAGAGAAGGAATTTGGGAGTCAAGCATCCACTGCCAAGGTGAAGATGCCTTTGGCCACCAGAGCCAGAGATGTGATTCAGCCTTTGGGATCTGAACTGGGAATATTGTCTGGGACCTCCATGCAGAGTCCCTGGTGACGGGTCAGCCAGAATCAAACAACACTCCAGTGCCAAGGAGTGACATCCTTTAGCAACCATGTCCTGGTAGAGAGAGGCTCCAAATCCCTCCATCCCAATAGACAGTGTCCCCTCTCCTTTGCACACAGGCATCTCAGGTATCCACAGCTACATTCCCACGGGATGCCCTTGGGGATGGTGTGACCAAGGTCAGGATTGAATCTATGGATTCTAAACTTGGAAAAAAGGAAATGAGTGAGGGGAATGGCAAGAGTACAAGAAAATGAGTGTCATCACTGAACTATGGGCTGGAACGATGACTAGAGATGTAAGTATCTCAGGCCTCATGGAGCCTTATTGTCAGAAAGGTCTTTCCTTGTCAAATTTCAGAACTGGGTACATTGGATGGCTAGAGGTAAGACAGGGAGTTCTCAGTCCTAATCCAGAGCAGCCACTGTTTCTGAGTTCCTAGGGGACACCTCATGGCTGGGGAGTAGCCTTAGGTTAACAAACAGAGTCAAGCAGGGTTTTTACTCTGGCTTCAAAATCAGGAAAATACAAGGGGTGGGGACAGCTGGAAGTGCCTCTGAATTCCTAGCTGCAGCTAGTGGGCAATTTGGGACCTAACTAAGTCTGGCAGACCCTGTTGCTAAGGATCCTTGCTCTTAACAACCAGAGTCCCGGGGGTGGCACAGAACCCAGAACTAGAAAACAGGAGGATGGGGCAGCCCAGAGCCCTGCCCTCCCCCGCCAGCCCCACCAAGAAGCTCCAACCTTGGTGTTCAGGCTGCTGAGCGAGGAGATGGTAGAGGCGCTGCTGGCCAGGCTGAGGCTGCTCCGAGGTCTGCCCTCCTCCATCAAGGGCTTGGGGAGAGAAAGAAAAGGGCTGTGTGCATGTCTCTGCAGCTGACCCGGCTGGGGACAGAGACGGGGTCAGGGGCTCCCAGGTCGGAGGAGGCTGAGGAGAAAGAGCCTGTTGTTTGGGGACTCGGGGGCTGGGGGAGGCCCTGGCCCGGGACTGCATACCAAGAGTGATGCCAAGAGAGGTGGGCGGCACTGGCAGCTGCGGGTGGGGGCAGCTGTCTGCAGCCCAAGACAGAGAATAGGGGCTCCTTTATTCTTGCCCCCTGAGCTCTGGCAAAGAATTTGACCCTCTCTGTGCTTAGGGATCCCCCCCATTCCCTGCCTCTTTCCGGCTGCCCCCAGCTACCTGTCTCTTGCTCTCCCACATGCAACCCTGAGACATCCCTGCCAAGCCCAGGGGCATCAGGAATGCACACCCAAGCAGCCCCTCCCAGCCCAGCGAGGGAACTTACCAGCTCTGGGATCCCAAAGACAGGGGGCAAGAGGGCGGTGTGGGTGCTGGGGCACCCAGCCACAGCCTCCCTCCTCTGTCTCTTAGGTGCTGCCTCTCATAGGCCTCAGTCTCACTTATATGCTCACTCACTCTTTTTGTCTCTTTGTCTCTTGTTCTATGGTCTCTCTTCTTCTCACATCTTCCCTTTCTTTTAGACTGTCTCTGTTTCAAGTCTCACCTTCTGTCTCTCTCTCCCACACACACCCATATCACTTTCTCTCCCAATCTTTCTGTTTCTGTCCAAATCTTTTTCTCGGACTCACAGAGTCTCTACCTCAATTCTCTTTCTCATTCTCTCCCTCTCTATCTTGCCCTATCTCTCTCTCTCCTTCACACTCAGTCGCTTCCTTTTTTCTCTCTCTCTCTGTCTCTGTCTCTCTCTCTCTATGGCCCTCCACATCTGCTGTTTCCTCTGCTCCCTGATTCTCCTCACTTTCCCTTCTTCCCTCTCCCAGTTTCTCTTTCCTTCTGCTGGTCTTTCCCTCCCTCTGCCAGCCACCCACGCTGCGGTCTCCCCTCCCAATCCCCGCTGACCCCGCCCCTCTTGGCCTTCCCACCACAGCCTGACCCCTGGCTCAGCTGCCCCCACAGCTGAGGGGAGGGGCTGCCCCCCCCCCCAACTCCTGAGTCTCTGCTAGGCTGGGGCCTGGAGAGCCGGGGTTCCATACGGGATGAGGCTGATGATCTTAAATGTTTGGAGAGTAGGAGCTAGGCCTCCAGATCAGGGACCCTGTGCTAATCCGGGTCAGGTGCCTGGGTCATTGATGACTTGAATGGAGGTAGCTTGGCTCTTGGAAGGGGTGGGGTTTCAAACTCCTGGGTACCTAGGAAGGTGTGAGCTAGGACTCAGGACTCCTGAGTTGTGAATGGAACCAGGGGTCTGGAAGGGTGGCTCTGAGTGGATGGGTCCAGGTACTCCAGGGAGGAGGGAGTGACCCTGGATTCCTGGATTCTGGCTAGAGCAGAATCAAGCGGATAGGGTCAGATCTCCACCTCAGATCCAGGTGAGAATTCTGTTTTACACTGAGGCTGACCCTCTCAGGAGGGAGACATGGTTACTGGGCATATTTTGAGAAGCAAAATTATGAACCAGGGAGGGGGATTGGGCTGGGGCATGGTGACTGTGTCCCTGGGTGAGACTCTTGTGGCAGGCCCCTTGCTCCCATGAGGTTCAGTTAATGCCACCCAGCCAGAATTTCAGTTTGTGTAAGCAGAGCTTTTGGGTGAGTTTGAAGCAGGTGAAATCCAGACATAGAGCCTTATGCATGAAGCCCCGAAGGGGTCTGAGCTTTTGGTTTACTGTATACTCACCAAATATTTGTTTAGCATCCACTATGTGCCAGGCACTGAGAAGAAAGCAGTGAGCAAATCAAAGGGCCTGCCTTCAGGGTGCTTACATTGTTCTCATTTGTAATAAACCTAGACTCAGCTGTGACCATCTTGAGCAGGTGACTCCATTCCCAAGCCTCAGTTTCTTCATCTGTGAAATGAAAACAGTAATACTCTCCCACACGGGGAGGAGGGGGGAGGGGGAGAAGCTGACCAGGTGTGAGTCTAGACTGAGGCCTGCTGCTTAAATTGGGGTGGGAAAGGCATTTGCCCAAACAAGGGTTGAGAAAGCTCCCCGAGTGCTTAAGCCACGTTTGATTGACAGCTCACTTGTTTCGGGGCGTGACCACGCTTGAAAAGCTGCCGTGATGTCACAACGCCGGGAATCTCCGCGAGAATTCCAGCCTTATTTTCTCTTCCTGTTTTTCAAGTCTTTGTTTCGAAAACCCGCCTCTCCTCGTGACGTCAGCACGTCCGGCCGCGTTAGACTATAAAAGCCTTGCGGGCGGCGTCAGCACTAATCGGATCAGTTTCTAGCCTTGTTGATTATTACCGGTTTCACCCTGCACGACCCCGCGCCCGTTTGTCGCGACAGCGCTAGCAGCGACCGGTAATAACTTGAGTCCCCGATCCCGACGCCGGAGGGCGAGATGAAAGCGCTGGCCTCCCGAGCTGTCCGGACCTGCGATCGCTTGTGGCAGCCCAAGCCGGCCCTCCTGCCCCCGGGGTGACGCACAGCCCCCAGCCGGTGAGTGAGCGATCAGAACGAATGGATCTCCAGGGGTTGGGTTGGGAGCTGGGGGTCAGATTCTTCATCAGTAATGAGGAGGGACCTTGGTACTTCTAGGTACTGGGACAGGAGTGGTCGGCGCTGGGACCCCTGGGTCCCGAGGAAAAGGGCCTGGGAGCCTGAACTCCTGTGTCTGGGGAGGGGTGGACGGAACGGACGCCAGGGCCCGACTTAGCCAGTAGAGAGATTAGGAGTCTGGGGTGCTGAGCCTGAGGGAGGAGGAGTCGGGGAGCCAGACTCTCGTCTCCAGTGAAGAACCATGGGGGAGGGGGGGGGATAGAATTTTTGAGTCTCCAAGGGAGGAAGGTGACACAGGTCTCGTTTGTCAATCCTCAGGAGGATAAGAGAACCAGGGACTAGGAATTCGTCCCCAAGGGGAGCAAGTACAGGACCTGTGTTCTCGATTCTTGGGACTGGGACTTCTAGATCTAAGGGAAGAGGGGTCTGGGGGCTTGGACTCTTGGGTCTAAGAAAGGAGAAAATGGGGACCCAGACTTATGGGTATTGAGAGAAGAGAGATGTGGGAACCAAGGGACAGGGATGGGAGTGGCTGGGATCAGAAAGGAATGTGGGCAGGGACTCTCATGTTGTTATTTGTGTATATCCGTTGCTATGATTCAGCAGTCATCCCCTGATGCTATTTCCTAAATGGCTTCTAAACTTTATTCCCTTTTCCCCAGCCCAGACAGATGGCCCCACGCCAAGGACCCCATCAGCCCATCGCCTGGAGGGATGCCCACCCCTTCTTCCTCCTGTCACCACTGATGGGCCTTCTCAGCTGGGCCTGGAGCCGGTTGAGGGGCCCAGGAGCTCCAGAGCTCTGGTTGGGGGAAACAATAACAAGCGCAGATCAGGGAGAAGCTAAGGCTTCTTTGGCTGTCCACTATGCCCCCTGGGGCAGGCACCCTCAAGTGGAGACTATTGAGGAGGATGGAGAAGCATCCTGGGGGGCCCACCCTGATCTGAAAGCCAGCAATTCTCTTCTTGAAGCCTGGGGACTTTCAGATGATGATGATGATGATGATGATGATGATGATGAAGACTATAGTAGGGAAAAAGCAACCAGTGTCCCTAGAGAGCAGGGAAGTGAATATATAGATGGCCAGCCTGCTTTCCTGTCCCCCAGCCTTCTGAGAAGAACCCTGCAAGGCCCTCCTGGGGAGGAAGAATTTGAGGAAGGAGGAGTTGCTGAAGTTAAAGTGACCACGTTCTTCTCTGTTCCTCCATCACACTGGGGGTGCCGTCCAGGGGTGGAAGAGGGGAAGGAGGAGGAGGAGGATGGAGAAGCTATAAATAAAGAAGCTCCCAGAACATCTACTTCCCCGTTATCTCCAGGACCCAAGCCCAGAGACTGGGCGTATTATGCAAGGGAGGAAGAGGCTCGAGCCAAGGAGGAAGAAAGAAGAACAGAGAATAAAGAAGCCAGGACGCCCTTCATTTCTCTTTTCCCTGCAGGCTCCCACCCCAGCACCTGGAAGTGTTGTTCAGGAGAGGAGTCTGAGGAGTTGGAGGATGGAAAGGCTGAGAAAGGAGAAGCTAGCCCAGGGCCACACTCAGTTCTAACCCAGAGGCCCCTGCTTAGGACCTGGCAATATCAACCCAGTAAGATCACAGAGGAAGAAGAAGAGGAGGATGAGGACAATGTTTCAGGGGAAGCTAAGGGTTTCTCTTCCGACTCACACACAAGCACCTTCTTGAGGGCCTGGGTGTATCAACCAGGAGAGGACACCGAGGAGGAAGATGAGGACAGTGCTTCAGAGGCAGCTGAGGAGGAGGAAGAGACTGAGGGTCCCTCTTCTATGCCACCCACAAGCACCTTCTTGAGGGCCTGGGTGTACCGACCAGGAGAGGACACCGAGGAGGAAGATGAGGACAGTGCTTCAGAGGCAGCTGAGGAGGAGGAAGAGACTGAGGGTCCCTCTTCTGTCCCTCCCACAAGTGCCTTCTTGAGGGCCTGGGTGTATCAACCAGGAGAGGACACAGAGGAGGAGGAGGAGGAGGAAAATGAGGATGAAAAAGATGATTCAGAAGCAGCTGACTCAGGGCCAAGTTCTTCCCTTCAGGCTCAGAGTGCCCTCCTCAGAGGCTGGACATACCCATCTGGAGAGAGGACAGAGGGAGGGGAAGCTGCTGATGAGCGGGAAGAAGCTGAGCACCACCCCTTCCGAGTGACCATCTATTTACCTGGAGAGAAGCCACCACCTCCCTGGACTCCTCCTCGGCTGCCCCTCCGACTGCAAAGACGCCTCAAGTCCCTCAAGTCCGCAGAAACCCCCACCCAGCATCTGGACCCTGAGACTCCCCAAAAGACCAGAATGGTAGGTGCTAAGGGCTCAGACTCTTGAGTGTTAGGGAGGAGGGGGCTGGTAGCTGGCACTGCTGGTTCCCCCGTGTGTTACAGAGGGTTGCATGTGAACTCCACTGGGAGGGCTGTGTTCACTGTAATGCAATCCTTTGCAAGAGGCTGGGCCCCGTGAGAGGAGGAAGCAGCTGTGGCTCATGTCAGCCCCAAAGAATGTCAACCCCAGAGAACCTCCACCACCTTCAGTGAGTCAGATGGAGAATCCAGTGGCAGGCAGGTGATTAGTCAGATAGTAAGCATCTTCGTGTTACTAATTTTTGTCTGGTTCTCTTTCTCTCTCCCCCCTCCCCCCTTTGGCCCTGTGTATCTTATGTCTGTAACTCTGTGTCTCCCCATGTCTGTGCGGGTCCGTCTCCAGGTGCGCTTCTCTGAGAAGGTCTCCATCCATTACCTGGCTGTCTGGGCAGGACCTGCCCAGGCTGCCCGCCAGGGCCCCTGGGAGCAGCTTGCCCGAGATCGCAGCCGCTTTGCCCGCCGAATTGCCCAGGCCCAGGAGAAGCTGGGCCCCTGCCTCACCCCTGCAGCCCGGGCCATGGCCTGGGTACGCCTCGGGAACCCTCCCCCTTCTCTGGCTGCCATATCTACCCCTACCCGGACTTTGCCCATATCCGCTGCCCAGGCCACGCCCTTGAGCCATGCTGTGGCCTCTCCCTCCCCTCTTTATGTGTCCCTGTCTCCTTGTCTGGACCTCAGCGGGAGGCGTGGCTAAGATCATGTGGTTTGCATGTTATTAACTATTTATTTATTTTTACCAGTTGGTTTAAGAAATAAAGCCTTTTGATTTGTAGTGAGCAGTATCACCGTTGTGTATCTGAACTGACAGTATCTACTACTCCTGGGTCCCAGGGGTAGTTGGGGTAATAGCATAAAAGGTAAGTGCCTTAATAGAGGATAAACTACATTTCCCATCATCCTTCAAATTTGCTTCCTTTCGTCCTGAGGCTTACTTTGAACAAAGGGCTGATGGGTTTTGTAGTTTTTCTTTGGCTTCCACCTCAATTTTATTAAAATTGGGACAATTATCTCCCCAAGGGGACTGGGAGCTGGACTTACTGATCTCTAAAGGGTTAAGCTCCAGTTTTCTGTGCCTCCTTGGAATATAAAGACGCATCCTCCTACTGTCCTTTACATGGTGAATTCAAGGTTTTCAGCTGCCTGATTTCACATATACAAGCCCTGTGTCCACTGACTCAGTTTTGGTATCTATAAAATGTGGCTAACAACTGCACATACCTTAGGGATTATAAGGACCCAGAGAAGTTCATATTTAAAACAATGCTCATCAATTAAAAATATATGCTAGCGGGCTGGCCGAGTGGCGCATTGGTTAAGAGCTGGCTTGGAAGGCAGCTCTGAGCAGTAGGACCCCAGTTCGGATCCCACATGAGGGCCAGTGACACTGCCCTCTACAGCTAAGATGGTGAGCAACAGTTCGACCTGGAGCCGGGCTGCCAGGAGTTGTAGGCGATAGCGTAGGCTGCAGCCTCTGCTGCAGTGAACTGCCATAAGCTACCGTGTGTGACCGGTAGCCAGCGTGAGCAGCTGGCAGCCGGTGTGAGCTGCCAAAAGCCGCCGTGAGCAGCCGTCCAGTGGCTGGCGACCCATCTGCCTCACCTGGGAAGAGTGCAATGATAATACCAACATGGGCCAGTGAAGCAACGTCCTCCACAACTAGACTGAAGAACAAAAGGACAGCAACTTGTCTGTTCCCCTTCCCCGATTCCCCAATGTTGTTCCCCTCCCCCAATAAAATCTTTTATATATATATATATGCTAGCGAGTATTAATATAATTTTTCTCACTTTCACCCATGCATGTCTTCAAATACCATCTTAGTTTACGTCTCCAGCTTAGAACTCTCTTCTGACATCATAAGATCTGTCCAGCACTTCAAGTCAAACAAGAATGGTCCAAATGTCCTTCACCCTGTCTAGCCTCATACCCTACCCCTCCTCCATTAGTTCTCCAGGTCCTGACACACTATCCGCCTTTCATTTTCCCAAACCAACCAAGACCCCTTCCACCTTAAGATCTTTGTATGAGCTGTGCCTACTGTCTTGATTGTTCCCAACTCTGACCCCTCTGGCTCTGCCAGTTCCTCCTAATTCTTCAGGTATAGCACGAAAATCACTTTTTCAGAGATGCCTCCCTCTGACCCAACCGATTTGTGCCTCCATGTGCTTTTCTCTTGTATAGCAGAGGAGCATTTTGATTTTTTGTTAAGTTTAAGATCCATTTCCCATGATCCACTGTGAGTCCAACTAGAGCAGGTGCTACTGAACAGCCCACTCCCTAGAACCCAGTATTGGGCACCCAGGAGGTGTGTAATAAGTGTGGGTTATTAGTAAGGTGGTGCAAAAGAAGGCATGCTGGAGCCCTTCCTCCAAATGAGCAGACACAGGAACTTATGTGAGTATTGTTATTTCATTAGATTACTCACATTGCCAGTTTCCCATCAAAACTGGACAAGCAGATGGCAAAGGCTTGGAGAGGGCAAAGCGGGAAGCAGAAGTCCATGGTAAACATGTCTGGGGCAACGCGGCCGAACTGGAGCACCACGTCGTTTACTGAGGATAAAGTCAGGAACCAAGCTTAGTCTTACTCATTTCCCTACCGCAGGCCTCTGAGCTGCGGAAACTACGACTCCCAAAGGGCTGTGCGGCGCCCTTACTAAACCAGAAGAACCCTCGGAGGGCCGTGTAAACTAGTTCCCAAGAGGCTTTGCAACAGCATGAAGTCAGCCCTTCTCAGACAAATGCTAAGTGCGGATAGGAGAAGTAGTTCTGGTCTGTTCCTGCCCCACACTACCCCGCCCACCTCTTGTCTAGGTAAACCGGTTCCTAGTAGCTCACGGTCATCCGGATGCACGATCTGGAAGTTCTTGACCGAGGCCTGAGTGACCCGACCTTTAAAATTGAGCACGTAGACGCCCCTCTCGTCGCTCCACATTGGGGCTTTGTTTCGCAGCAGGATCAGCCCCTGGATGGCTCCATTTTGGAGGCGACTCAGTAGCGACCCCTGTTCCTAGAGGGTAAAGTAAGGGACGTGGTTAACCTACCACCACCTAGCCTTTTTCTCCAGACAGAATTTTGAGTTCCTAGTCTCTCTTCCCTGAGATCCATAAGTCTGACAAAATCTTCCCTGCTTTATCCAGAGATTCTCAACCTTATCCCACTCACATTTTGTGGCTGGATGCTGATTCTCCCGTTCTGGGCATCGATTCCTGGAATGATCACAGTCATTTTCCGGGGCCCTCGGAATCCCAAGACATTGGTCTCCTGCGGGTATTATGCTCCAGTTGGCCTGGCTCTTTCTCCATCCCTCCCCACCAACCTGCTCCATTCGCTGTAGTCTCCAGGACACTCACATAACACACAGCGCCCAGCTCCTTCCTGATCCAAGCTGACCCCGGGATGGAATTCTTCCTTTTGGGATTCGTTCCACTGTCAAAGATGGTGAACTTGGTGCCCAAGACATTAGATCTTAGATCCAGAAAGAGCGTGGCCAGAATAGAAATAATAATTGTTACTGTGTTGCTGTACGTTAGCTGCTTTCCCACGTCATCTCATCAACTCTTCCCATCAATCCTCTACCTAAGATCCATTTCCGCGTTCCATGTATCCACATGGCCCGGTGAGCCATGATTTTTCGTTTCCTGTCTTGGTCCTTTAGAAACCCTCTTCCCTCTAGGACACAAGAGCTCACACATCCCAGGCCTCTTCTCCTACTCAGGAACTTAGCCTTTCAAGAAGTCAAATGTCTTAAATGACAGGCTGTTCCAAAGTTCAGTTCTATTCCCAACTACCCAGGTGTGACAACCTGAATAACTACAAAGCCCATCAGTCCCTAAGAGAAAAGTTCCTAAAGCAGGTGGAACTTGTGCTCTATGGCCTGTTGGGAAATGTAGTTCAATTGTCCCTTTCTTCCCCAAGGCGCCCTGCAATCTGTTTCTCACACACATCTGGGCTCTGCCTACCTGACTTTGCCCACAATGTTGTCCCCATTCCGAGACAGGTCTGTGGGGTCCAGGGAGATAAGGTAATTAGAGGTTTTGCTCCTCTTTCTCTTGCGAGCAGCCAGAAGGAAGTGCTGTGGACATGAGAACAGCCAATCAGAATCAATTTCTGGTATCTGTTAGCCCTAGGGCTCCAAAAATAAGGAAAACACTAGGTCCCTACAACAAAGAAAAGGGTAATGGGGCAATAAGCGTCCCAAGGCTTGCTGGGAGATGCAATTCTCACTGAAGGAAGTCAGCTGGGTCCTGAAGGGGAGCTTCACATCTTAACATAGTTCCTTCAGTCCTTCTGACATTGTGTCCAGGATTCAGGCAGAGCCTAAGTAGAGGAGGCTCGGACTGGCAGCAGGGCCTGGCTTTGTACAATAGGGAAGAGGCTCACTTTGAACATTGCAACAGGACTTTGGTAGGTATTTCATCTGGGAAAAGCGGGTCTGGCTCTGGGTAGGAAAAGGCCTCTTTCTGGGTGAAATGGAGTGCGTTAAGGAGAGGCAGCCACACAGAGGGGACTGGCCAGACTGGAAGGGGCGCGCGCGGGTTGGCTTTGGATTGGGAAATCCATGAGGGGAGGGGCTTGGTTCCTGAGGGGGCAGGGCTTATTCCAGGATTGGGTTGGCCTGATAGCAAAGAAGGTCCAGACTTGGACCTACTAAGATGCGGCTAATACCTCTATAAGGTCTGTAAGGGTTGGGAGTTTGGTCTGTAAGGAATGGGGCCAGTACCTCTAAAGGCTCTGAGAGGATGTGTCCTGACTTTGAGAAAGGCGGACCCATCTCCACAGTGGTCAGGGCTTGGTTATGGGATGGGTAGGGCCTATGCCACTGGGCTCTCTCTATAAGGAGCCTAGTTCTGTGAAGGGTAGGTTTTGGAGTTGGACTTTGCAGGTCCTAGCTCAGTGATGAGCAAGGCCTGGATTTGTGGAAGGTTTGACCTCACACAGCAAAGAGCAGGACTTGACCCTGCGAGGTGGCGCTTGCTCCCCAAGCTGCCAAAGCTTACCTTCTGGCCCTCAGCCGCCTCTAGGTAGAGATAGTAGAAAGGGAACATGCCCTTATCTACACCTTGCTTGTCGCGACTGATGAGACACTGCACCATACCGTCCCTCATGGCTGGCTGCAGCACGTATGCTTCCAAGTCTTCGCCCAGCAGAGGGCCTGAGACGTGGAGAGACAAGTGGAACGAGCTTCCCACATCGTTTTCGCCCTTGCCTTTCAGGGCCTCGGACACCTCTACATCTGCCTCCCCTCGGGAGTTCCTCACTGTAGATTCCGACTCCTCTTTGTTCTCTTCCAAGTCTTCACCCTAGCCCACGCGCCAAATTCAAGTTGAGGGTTAGTGGAGTCTCAGGCTACCCCACAACACCTGCTTGCCAACTACTGATTGGCCATTCCAGCTCAGGGTTACCCCTTCTCTCGATTATGTACTCTGCCTATTGGTCAAACATCTCGGCCACCCGCTGATTGGCCAGTCCGTTCAAGGGTCCCACCCAGCCAAGCTCCAATTATCTGTGGATTGTTCAGCACCACTAGCTTCCCTCTACAGCCACGCCCACTCCATCGACCGATTGGAGAATCCCTTTGAAACCACTGCCCATTTAGCTAAAACCAGTGTTGATTCCGTCTACTCTAGATAACATATGCGAACCGGATCTACCCAACTGAAACTCTCTCACTTTCATCAGTACCAAAGTGAGTGCCAACTGACCCGTCCCTATCACAGTTTCACTCTCTCCAAAGCTGGCTGCCTTTCAGTGGGCTGGATTTTAACGTACATAACTCACATTAATTCAAATCCTAGACTATATAGATTTCATAAATGGTGCACTCACAGGGTCTTTACTAGCCAAGTCACAACAGGTTCCACCAACTAGTAAAAATGGTCTCTGATTGGGCAGCAGAATTTTAGCCCCACCCTCCCTACAATCTAAGGCTAGCCCTCCTCCTTCTCTCTCTTGATTGGCTGTGCCACCACCCACCTTGTTGGAGGCCAAGTCTACATGTCCCCAGTCACAATCCGTTCCAGGGTTCCGTTCCAGACTACGCAACTCATATTTATCTCCAAGACCCTGGGATTTGCTCTCGTCCTCTGCACGGGACCCTAAGGGGTGGAAAAAGCCAGAAGAAGACTGAGCTCAGGACACATGGGTCCTAGGAGCTTGGGACAAGTTCACCAGTGCTAGCTGAAGAAGGCCAGAACTCCTGGGTTTGTGGCCCCTACATATGACTCATCACCCTCACTTGCCAGATACCCCACTTCTCCCATGTGCAGGGGGTCTACACTGGCCAAGAAGCCTCTTACTGCCCTGGGTCTAAGGACAGAGAGGGATTAGACTCCTCCCTTTTCCTTGTCCCAGACAGAACATCGAAGAGACCAGGGAACTAAAATGGGGGTAGGAGGTAGAATGGAGTGTTGGGATGACAATTAAGATTCCTGTTTAGAAGTAATTGGTCATGTCATCAGAATAAAATGAAATGTTACTACAAGGGAATATTAAGGAATACAAAAAGGAATGAAGTACTGATAATACTACAACATAGATGAACTTTAAAAACAAGAAAAAGAATCCAGTCACAGAAGATCATATACTGTATTATTCTATTTATATGAAACATCCAGAATAGGCAAATCTAAAGAGACAGAAAGTAGATTAGTGATTGCCTAGGGCTAGGATAAATGGGGGTGGGGGGTGGAAGGCAGTGACTGCTAAAAGGGACAGGGTTTTTTCTGGGGGTGATGAAAATGTTCTAAAACTGATTGTGGTGATAGGTGCACATCTCTGTAAATATACTGAAAACCATGAAATTGTAAACTTTAAATGAGTGCATTAGATGGTATATTAAATTTACGTCAAAAAAGTTGTTACAAAAAAGGGGGAGTATTTGCCACTTGGACCAGAGGGCTTGAGGATGTCCCCAAAATTACCAAGTCGGTGGGGTGGCCAACCCCTGCGTCTTATTCTTGGAAGCTCTTTAACAGGAAGCAGAGAGGCAGGAACATCCTCCACAGAGACTTCTTCTAACTCCGGATCAGAACTGTCTGGTGGCCAGGATAGGGAAGGGGGTGAGAGATTGGGATTTCTGAATACTGCAGGAGGAAAGGGCTGCAGATTCAGATTCCTGGGTGTTGGAGAAGGAGAAGGTTTAAGACCTGGAGTCCTTGGTGTGAGGGATTTCAGGGCCCGCAGGGGTCTGGAATCCTGGGTCCTTTAGAGAGCAAGAATTGAGGTTCCAGACTCCTGGGTTCTAGTGGGAGTGGAGTCCTAGAGTATAGGCTGTCCAAGGGCTCAAGATTACCTGCTTCAATTGGCAACGCCAAGGGGCATCTCTCACCACTACCATCTCCACCACAGCTCACAGTGCCCAGGGCACTGGGGACACCAGAACGCAGATTTGCCTCTGGCATGTTCTCCCAGAGGAAAGGGTTCCGCAGGCCTGGGAAAAGATGCAGCGAGGCCCATTAACACGATGTACACATTCCGGTCCTCTGCTAAGAAGATCTGCCTCTTTACTGGGCTTCCAGGCATGGCCTCTGATTGATTGACCACCCAAAACCCCCAAATCCACTCAGAACATAAACTTCTATTTATTTATTTATTTGTTTGTTTATTTATTTATTTATTTATTTATTTTTAGCTGAGCCACCCTGCCACCTGTTGACAGCTCAGCAGCAGCTCAGCTTGGGCCTATGTGGGAATTCAACCGGTGACCCTGTTGCTCAGAGCTCACACTCTTGAATGAGCTCTTAATCAACTGAGCCACTCGGCCGGCCCTTACAAACTTTATTTTAAAGTTCAAACAAGCACAGCCCTATATAGCTAAGTTGTTGAGGATTCCGAGCGTAAACCATCCCAGTCTCCAGGACCTGGTCTCTAAATTACCTAGACCCGGATCCCGTGGGCTTTGCCAATTTTAGCTCTGGGGGTTCCTGGGAACTATATATATATCCACTGCCTCCGTGTTCCACCAGGCCCCGCCCCAGTACGGCCCCACTCTCGTTGGTTGGTCCCCAGCTCTCGCAAGCTCCGCCCAAGAGCGCTTACAAGCCCAATTGCGGGATTCTCCTGTGCCCCATCCTCTAGTTGCATCATGCCCTGCACCCGGACCCTCCCTGGGGCCATCTCAGTTCTTATACTCGGGCTTTTCGGGGCTCTGCCCGCGTGCTCTACCGCATCACCACGTCCAGCTCCTGCGCTCCGCCAGGCTTCTCCCTCTGAACCATTTAGGCCCCGCCCCACACTCCAACAGACCCCCGCCCCCGGGCTTCCCAAGACCTCTCACTCCAGGCCCAAGATCCTGCCGGACCCTAGGAACTTTCTTCACCTCTGTCACCCGCAATGCGCTCCTCCCGCCGCAGCGATTGGCAGGACCGAAAGGAAGCATCAGGATTGGCCTGAACCATGCGGAGCTCTTGGCGCCTCCGTCGCTGCTTCATCTCAAATAGCCGCCGC